TATGGTGAAAGGCAGGAAATAATGCCAGTATGTGGAGTGTGATCTTTTTTGAAGGAAAGAAAGAATGTGAAAATTTAGAAGCATTAAAATGAACAATGCATTTACAACTGAGGTGGTTCATGAATCTTAAACAGCTACTCAGAAAATTCAAATGAAATTTGTCATTTATATTGAAAGTTATATTGTATTTATTTGCCAAGTCTCGTGTTGAGACGGAGACGACTGCTGAGCAGAAACAGACCACCACTCTCCCTGGCGGCTGTGCTCCTTGCTGGCAGGCAGGTGGCCGGTGGGGTGGGGGTGACGTGGTGGGGGGACCTCCTATCTGTACCCTGGTGGGTGGCAGTAACCACTCTCTTAGCAATAGCCTAGGTTAAAAAAAAGGCCTATGACAATGGGAAAAAAGTGTTCTGAGTTCCAGGAAAAGGACCTGAAGACTTGGTCAAACCCAGGTGTAAGTTGGGGACCTTCCACAGGGCAGGCTTTAGGATGCACTCTTCGCCTGCCCCTCAGGGACAGTGGGGACACTGAGATCTGTATCTGTTTCTGATAAGGCTGATAAGGTGGCTGGGATGCAGTTAGCTGATAACATTCGTGTTTTGCGATGTCTTCCCCCTCGCAACATGTCCGCTCTGTGATGGCACAGCAGCCCATCACAGTGACTTGAATTCTGCCTCAGTTTAACCACCACTTACTTTGATAAAACCAGCAATGTAAGTCCAAATCACAGACACCAGGTGGAGTATCTGCTTTGTTCCTGGTGCTGGAATATGCTGGTTCCCACCATGCTTTTTTAAATATTCATCCCATCAATTTTTGAGATGGTTAGTACATTTCTATACTGAAAAAAGATCTGGACTTTTATAAGTACTCTGGAGCAGTCATTACCACATTTTTTGGGACTTCACTAAGCAGAAAAATTTGGAAAACAAAACCAAAGCCTCCCTAATCCAAGCCCAAATCTTGTGAGGACTGACAAAAAGGCTGCCAACTTTTAATTTTACCAAACTAGGACCATGGGTAAAAACAAAAACTAACCACCGCCCCAAAACACCCCCAAAACTCCAAAACCAACTCCACCCCCACTCCCCAAAACCAAACTTGAACATTTAATAAAATGAACGGCTGTATATATTATCAGCGTCCGCTCTCAAATACATCTTATGACTACGATGAAAGCATGCTGTCTCCAAATAAAAGTGTCTTTGAATGAGCTTTATGGAGAACTCACTATGTTGTCCTTTCTGATCATTTTGCCTTGGACTGGTGATAACTTTGGCATGCTCTGGGCTGTGGGCCTTCAATTTTGAATGGCTGTTCGAGGGAGGAGGAAGGAGGAGAAGGGGGGAAAGCCTCAGGTTAATCTGAAGGCTATGCTGATTATTTCTGCTCCAGGGATGCCTTCTGGTTCTAAATTCTTTCATCTTCCAACTGCCATCTATTTTACTAAGGGCGGTTAGTAATATAAGATAACCTGAGATCGTGGAGCACTGGGTATAGGGCTGAAAAATCTGGTCATACCATAATGCTGCTAATCTATGTTTTCATGATATTCTCGGGTAAATTAATTTTGAATTCTGGAAACCAAGATGACAATTCTGGGGAGGGGAGTGGTGACCCTCTGTCACATTGTTGTTGTCACAGAACTTGGACTTAGTTGCTTATGGAAATAGAAAAACACATTCAGGCTGGCAATATTCAGTTTTAAAGAAAACCAAACTCTAAAATGCTTTTTCACATAACTTATGGAGAGCTCATTTTGCAGTAACACTTTGGGCATTCCTTAGCATCTGTTTCACATGCTCCATCTCTAACTGAAGCCAATGCCTTGTATCTTTTGTAAAGAACTTCAGGAATCTGCAGCTAAGCACCATGGAATCCCCAAATGGCTTTGGTCCTGGAAAAGGTTGATTAAGACCTTGACCCTGGCTATTTAGCATGAATTACACATTATCCTTCCTCTTGACAGATTTGTGAAAAGACACAGATAATAATAAAAGAACAAAAAATTATTTCATTGTTATAGTGCTTCATATTATGTCATTTCATTCTCCTCTTCCTTTATTTTAAATGTTTCTTTTATTAAGTGAGCGGGAAAATACATAATTGAACAGATCGAAACTACAAGGTGTGCCCTTTACAAGACTGGGTGAAACAAAACATTCATCAGAAGGCATGTTTCAATTTCCTAAATGAGACTTCATGCAACAACATCCAGTGGCGCTAAATATATACAGATGGTAGAGCCTGCCCAGGCAAGCCTCGGAACTCTTGTCACTTGGACAAATGATAAGACCCGAATGTCATTAGGTTTTCTTGAAGCTGCCTTTGGCAGGGGGATACATTTCCTGTTGTTTATTTCTTGTTTTAGAAAAAAAAATTGCTATCATTTTTAAACATTTAGACCAGGAAACAAAATGCAGAATCCCCTTCCCATTCCAATAACCCTGCAATACCAGTAGTTTAAGATGGATCGTTATCTGTATAAATGTAAGAGTTTTGAAATGCTGCTTTTCCCCAGGTTCTATATGACAGTCTCTCCTCCAGTCCTGCAACTTGGCCTGTTAAGATGATTAATGGAGAAAGTACAGCCAGGATCACAGTCAGGTGTTTTCCATCCACAATAGCCTTCCAGGAAAGAAAATCATAGGGTTTTCTGTTTTATACATGAAAGCAAACCAATGCTTTAATGATATGAACTTTGGACACAGCTTTTTGTTTTGATATTGAAGTAAAATGACCATATAGTTCTGTAGCTTTTTTTAATGCCAAAACTCTGCTATTGTTTATTTTCCTTCCTTCATTAATTCATCCGATAAATACATCTACTGTTTGCCAGCTATTCTTCAAAATACTGGAGCTAGGCCAATGAACAAAGTAGATGCTGATAAGTTCTATGAAAAGCAATAAAGCAGAAAATGAGTGGGCGATTAGAGATTATATACATCTCTGACAGTAAAGGGATATTTGTGTAGGTACCTAAAGGAAAGGAGGAGCGAGTCATGCAGAGGTGTGGGGGAAGAGATGTCTGGACAGAGGAAGCAGCCAGGGCTAAGACCCTGAGACAAGAGCACGCTTTGAGAGTGTTCTGGATAAAGCAAGGGCAGTGTGGTGGAGCAAATGAACTAGGAAGCCAGTAGATGAGGTCAGAGAAGTGGTAGTAGTGGTTGGAAATGGGGCAAAGGATAGGTCAGATTTATGAGGGCTTTAGAGCAAATGTAAGGATTGGGAGGTTGGGAAGACATTGCGGACTTGAGCAGAAAAGTACCATAACTTTTATATGTTTTTAAAAGTGTCATCCCAAGCAAGATGTGGCATGGACTCGTATATCCATGGATTGTGGATATATTCTGAAGCGAGGAAAAACAGATTCCACACCCCCCCGCCCCCACCCCCGCCAATGGATTGTATGTGGTATGTAAAAAAGAAAATTTAAAGGTAACTACAAGATTTTCTGGTCTGGAAGAATGGAGTTGTTGTTACTGACACAGGATGTATGTGATGGGAGTAAAATGGTGGGTGGGTGCAAATTAGTTTAGTTTTGGACGTGTTGAGTTGGAGATGCCAACTAGACATCCAAATGAAGATACCAAGTAAGAAGTTAGACATAGAACTCTGGCATTCAGGAAAGAGGTTAGGGCTAGAGTTAAAAATGTGGGTCTTTCAGTGGATAGAGTCCCAACACTGGAAAAAATCATTTAGAGAGGGAATGTCCAGTGCTGGGCACTCCAGGACCAAGAAGGAGTGGCCAGAGACATGAGAGAACATGAGGGATATTCCAGAGCTGAGAAAGTATTTCAGGAAGGAAGTTGTTATTAACTGTGTTCAAGACTGCAGAGAAGTCAAAAGCATGAAGCCAGAGACCTAACCATTGCATTTTAACAGCATGGAGATCATATTTTTCTTAGCAATAGCTATTATGGTGGGGATGAAAGCCTGATTTAAGTTGGCTCAAGACACCAAGGGAGGGGGTCACTGAAGACACTAAGTATACATGATTCCCTCTGAGGAGTTTTTCTGTGAAGGGGAGCAGATAAATAAGATGGTAGTTAGGGTAAGGTGGTCAAGGCGAGTGTTTATAAGACAAGAGATACCAACATGAATATAGTGAAATCCTCCAATGGGATGGGGGGAAATGGGGATGCAGGAGAGGGAAGGAATTGTTGGGCCAGTGGCCTTTATTTGGTGAGGTTGCAGGGGAGCTACCTAGAGCAAATAGCAAGAGCCACCTGCTATGAATTAAGGAGGCGATGTACTAATTGGTAATATGTTTCACTGGACAAGACCAGGAAACCAAGAAAGCAGGGTATTTATAGGATTGTCCAAGCGGATATTACAATCATCAAGAGTTAAGAAAGGGGTGTTGGAGCCAGTGACAGTGAGCCAAAACTGAAAATACTTAAGCACTTCGAGGGAGGCCTGGAAGGTAGATAGGGACTTTGTAGGTTGATGGCAAGAGCTTCAAAGCATTGGGTGTTTAGGAGGGACGGATAATAGTCTGGAAGTGGCAATGAGGAACAAACAGGCATCCTACTACTATTAGTGCTTTATTACTCACACTTTAACAGAGAGAACATAATATATTCCAAGGCGTGGCAGTGACCCTATGGGAAAACATTGGCTTAGAGCCCACCAAATCGTTTCTGGCTACTGCTCAGAACAACTATGCACAACAACTGAAGGCTTTTTGTATGCAGGGAAAGAATACTGGAAAGTACCGAAAAGGTTCAGACTAGAAAATATGCCAAGAATATTTTCTTTTATACCCTAACACAGGTGAGACTTACCCAGTTTCAGCGTATTTTTGACATTGTGAAACACTTTAGAAAACAGGAGATTTCAACAATGTAGACACTTGCAGGCATAGCAGAATGATAGTCTCCCTTCCCAATCTTGTAAATTTGGCATCTCTACAGTTATGCTGACATTGTAAATAAGACAGCTAAAATGCACAAAAATAGTTTCACAACATCCAATTTTAAAGTTCATCCAAGCTGTCATTTTTTTTTTTCCCTGCTGTGATTTCTTGCTGTCACCCAACATTTGAAATTCTGATTCAGGGTAATAACTGAGGTTTTTAAACAAAGCATAATACAGTATTACTATTCCTTCACACTAAACGGCAGGGGAAGAGATTAAGAGGAAGGGGCAACTGGAGCATGGATATTTGCTATGTACACATAATGACCCACTGCTGGAAATGAAAACTCACCTCTCCACCAGCCTTTGCTCAGGCTCAGCAGTGCAATGTCATGCACCGAGGATAAAAACAAACCATCAAAACCAAACTATCATGTAAGGAGTTGAGTTAGTTGGAAGATATCTACACAAAGCAAAAAATCTGTAATCTTTTAGAACATTTCTATTTCTGTGTTTTTTAGTCTTCATCCAAATGTTTGGCCTCATGGACATAGAGTCCAGGATTTTGATCTGGATTTCAAATATCTCAAAAACGTATCCAGGGACTTCTTCTGTTTAAGAACACAGTTTTATGGGGAGTTTAGTTTTGGTGCATTCTGGCACTTCCTGGAATGGCAGGCTTAGAAGAATAAAGTTCACAGCAGAGAGTTAGGGTCCCCTACTGCTTAACACTATGCAATGTTTTTAATATTCTAGTTGCCTGTGGAAAATTTCCAGAACAATGATACAGTATGGAAATCAAACAACCCTAGAAAATGCTTGGTAGAAATGTACAAATGGTTACTTTTGAACCTGAAAGTTCTCAAGGGATTTTCTTCTTTGCTTGGGCTTCTGAAAAGAATTCAGTTTATACCATTTTGAGACCCATGAAAGGACAGTACACCTTAGGGTTCCAGATACTGCTATACTCAGCAAAGCCAAAATGTAGTGGCATTTGAGAAATATTGGCAGGTAAACAAAATCACATTTGGACTTTTGGATTTTATGTTATAACTATGTCGTCTCAAGGGAGGCCAGTTATAGATTTGTTTGTTATGCTTCATTTGATTTGGTCAGATTCAAATTTTTGAGGAATGAACCAAAAGGTAACTGATAATTCACAGAAACTGTTCAGATGGTCAGAACATAGTATCAGAAAGGATTTTGGAACATCAGGGGCTTGGGAGGATGATTCAGAATTGTTATCAGTGTGTTGTGGATATTTCTCCTGTTTTCCTCCAGTGGGTTAAAACAAATTTTATTTTCTTTCTTAAAAATAAGGTAGCACATTTTATATCTTAAAGCAATCAGCACAAATGCAGGGATGCCTGTTCAAGCAGACCTCCAAAGACAGCACACACTATTGACACAAAGAGCTCTTCCACATTTCCAGAATACAGTGATGGGAACTGGTACACATAATAGGAAAGAAAAGAAAAAAAAATTTTTTTAACTTCATGGAATGGGAGGTCAGACTTCAGGCACTTCTTTGTCTGGCAACGGACAAAACCAAAAGGGCTCTGACCTGAATTTCACATTTCTTTCTCATCTACCACACAAGAGGGACCAGAGACACCAATGACCAATGAGTCACAAGAACAGACAGAAAACTGTTAGTACGTCTTGACAACCAGGAATGAAGATGCTTTTTAAAAATGTGTACTTGATGCCAAGTATGTGAGACATGTATCTTAGAAAGCAATGCCATTGTGCTAGAAAAATGGAGTCCCTGTCCAGGTGGCCTTGTGGGATTTCCTCAGGACCTTGATCTATACTGTTGAAATAGCTCTAGATCTTCTTGAAGCTAAAAGTCAAGAAAAATAATGACGTTTATGTAAACGGAGCCACTAATTCTGTGTGGAACTTAGTGCAAGCTGTCTTCATTCATATTGTGTGCACTGGCAATGGTCAGGATGTAACTGGCATGGGGAGGGCTCTCACCATTCAAATGGAGATCCTAAAGGTCATCTGTTTCTACCACCCACCGGACGCAGGAATCCATACTGCAGTTCCCCTGACCGGCACCCTAGAATGATGGTCACCTGTCAGAACCTGGGCCAAGATTATGGTTTGGGCAGGCTCTGTGGATTTTATGATATGATTATCAAATTTAGAGCAATAAGGACTGAAAAGATCTAGCAAAACTTACTTTGGGGGGAGGGCTCAGTTTCTCTTTGTAGAACAACAAAAATAAACTGAGCCAATTCCAGAAACAAAATCCCCTCTGGGAAGAACTAAAACTAAACACTGAAACTAACTAGTTTCAAAATTAAAGAAATTTTTATTAAGGTGCTATTAAGATGAAAGCACGACCCTCCCCCCACCATAAAAAAAGAAAGAAAGAAAGCAAACAAACCAGAAAGTTGGGAATTGTTGTGAACCATAAGAACAATAGTCTGAAATACTGTGCATGATCGGGATCTCAGTGTATCAGGGCTGGGGATTGTCCTGATGGAAGGAAATGTATTTTTGAAGATAAAAGCTTAAAGGAATTCTTTAGATATCTGTTAAGGAACACAGCTTTGATAGGGGCCCTTTTAAATTTAGTTTTGCCTTGTACTCCATGTAAAATATTTGTACAAAAATATAAAAGGCATGGCTTGATGTTTAACGTCTGTGTTTTATTGTTGTTGGCACCAGAAAAAGCTCATGTTCTATGTTATGTCACTGTACATACTGTAAACAAGACTGCATTAATATTGTTTTTATGAGTTTTTGTTTCAATGACTCTAGATTTTAAAAAATACATTCACAAACTACCTTATGTTTAAACACAATGATTCCCTTTTATTTCTTAACTGTACCCAAAATCCCACAATAAAAAAATCATTTAAAGCTGTGTGTTTCGAACTCATCACTTAGAAATCAAAACAAAACATAACATAAAAACAAAGATCAGTTTGCAACATAATTTAAAGAAGCTTCTGGTTCAAAATACCACAGCAGCAATATAAAGAGCTGGTGGCAATCACATTTGGGGATGGGACCCAAATCAATATATTTTGTCCACGTCAGCATCCAATTACAGTAGTTGCTAAATTCAATCCAAAAAGTTATTGCTGAAATTTGTTGCATGGAATTTGTGAAGATAGTGTTGTTCAGCAGCAGATCCATAGCAGTAAAAATGAGAACGGGAGGATTTCATTGCTTTTGAGAGCTAAAGGGACCATGATGAGGACATCTTGGTGATGGCCTGAAGATAATCCTCAATTCCATTATTGTGCATTATCTGCTTAAAATAAATGCAAAGGATAAACCCCTTTACAGGAAGGGTATAATCATCTACTTCAGAAACTGCAATAATTCCCCTGCCCTTCCCCCGTTTGCCCAAGCCACCAGATTGAATTGGTTCCATTTTCCTAACTTATATTTCGTTCTCATTGATAGTACATCAGCTGCTAATGTAGTTAGGCAAAAATCAGTAGGATCACAGACTTTAAAAAAAAATCTCTTTACAGTAATTGCTTTTTTCAGAAACCAACCACATTAGTTTTTGTCGATGTTGGATTTTTTTTTAATTTTTGAAGAACAATTTGGTCAACTACTGTTTTGTTTAAAAAATATTAAATACACCTGAGATTGCCAGTTGAGCTCTCTATATGTCTCCTGGAGATAACACTGCTGTGATGAACAGTGAAACAAAACAAACGAAACGAGGTAGGTTAAAACAGGAAGCGCAACACAGATATCGTTTTGCAACACCTTGATACCACAGGCGGCCATGCTTGTAGCTTTGGAAAAAAAAACCCAGACAGTCACGTAAAAGTTCAGATCATCCGAGTTAAGAGTTTATAAGGACACAAGTCAACCTGAACTAAATACATACATATCTCTGCACAAATGTTGTTTACTGTATGTTGGGTAATTTGGAGGAAGGGAAAATGATCAGGGTCTCAGAATTCTGGCCAAAGCCTTGCTTTTAAGTTCTATAAACTCTGAACCAGTGATGCCTGCTGTGTCTCACGCAGGCCTAGTAGTCTAGTCCCTTCTCTCACCAACCCAGAGAGAACACAGGCAGCTCAGAAACATTTATTATTATTATTTTTTCAGTCACAGTTTTCATCTTGAGAAAGTGGCACCCTCAGGAGAAAGCTGGGAATGACCAGAGTCTGGATGTCATTCACTCCCCAATTCCCAGAAAGAACTCAACAGTCTCACTCCTAATGAAGCCCGAAGCCAGTGACCTCTTAGCTAGAGGCTTTGTGCATTAAAAAAAGAATGTGTATATATATATGTGTGTGTGTGTGTGTGTGTGTTTGTATTTATGTATATATATATATATGTGGATATATATATATAAAATTTTTTTTTTTTTTTTAGTTTGTTTCCCAGAAGCTCTTTTTGTCCGACCCCATCAGTCATCCCATCTTTTGCCCTGATCTGTTGCATAATAGCCGAGGGAAAGTTGTGTTATAGAGTCCCTCAATCGCTAGAGCCAACTCAACACAATGGCACTACTATCCCATTCAACACATTCCATTCTGCACAGGGCCATATAAAAATAGGGCCTGTCAGACTCACAAAAATGGTAGTTGATTTTATTAGTCTAAGGCTAGTAGTTTAGCCATTTAAAATCTATTTCCCCAAAGAGGGGAAAACTAGTATTTTTTCTTTTCTTTTAAAAATTCATTAGCCAGTTGCTATCAAAAAGCAACCTTTTGGGTTGGTGAAGGCAAAAGAGTTCTAAAATTACCCCACTATGCAATTATGGCCTTCAGTGTGAGGAGATAAGGTACATTTATTGTGCTGTCTCTCACCATTTGAAATTGGAAATTTTACAACATATCGTATACTTAAAGCTAGCAGGCAGACAGAATTAAAAACAGACTCATTTTCTCAGTAGGCATTCTCTCCCCATTCTTACAAAGTAAGGGGGTAAAGGAAAAAGGTGGAAAAACAAAAAGCAAAACTCAAAACCCACCATAACACAGCTTAATCATAAGAGCACACAATATTTGTTTCTATCCCTAACTCCGAAGGGCACATGGTCCATATTTGTCCACAAACAACGCAGCATTCTTGGGGGTCTCCTGGAAATTCCTGCCACGTTTTTCTCTCCTTCTCAACCAGGCTGCAACATTGAAAGATGGACTGTGGACTGTACTGGGACCGGGGGAGGGAGAGGAAAAGGGGAAAGCGGTATGTTCAACCAAGCCTTCTGATTCTGCTCTAGACTGGCTTATGTCCACATGAGTTATGTTCTTTTTAATTAGAAACAACGCCATGAAGACAAGTGCCAAGTGCTCTTCTGTTACCAGTTCATCATGGAATTTCTGTTGAGGGTCATGAAAAACACTTGGCTACTTCCTCCAGATCGCACGGATGCAAAAAATACCTGTTTGAAATTAAAAAGAAGTTAGTTCAGCTGCATGGTTTCTTTTCCTCTTTTCTTCAACCGTCCATCCATTTCTCTCACATGTCCTATCCTTGCCATGTGTCAGCTCTTAAGACTCAACAGCTGGTGTTTATAAAAGTGCCTTTTAATACAGTGCATCCTCTGTAAACACTCCTGACTTGATTACTATGATTGTTACTATTACGTATTGTGGTACTGGCCTTCAGGAACACGGGAGGGGCTATATCTTGATTGGCAGCATCCCTTAGGATGCTCACATTTTAAACGGGCATTTCATGCTACGTAATGTGCTAGATTTTTGGCCTAGGACACAACAGGTCCTTTGTTAATCTCTAAAAAGCCATAGAGGCTTCCCTTCTCTCCCCCATAATGATGAGAGGGCAGACTTTAGGACTGAAGAGAATCCTTTCAAATTCCCAAAGTCACGGGGGTGGGGGTGGATTTTGGGTCTACTTACTACTATACAACTTCAGTTATCAATTTTTAAAATAAAAAAAGTGGTGTGGTCGGATAGGATAAGGTGTCTCATGCCTATTCACTTTGGTATATCAAGAGTTAACTCTTGGCTTGTCTGCTGGTGCAGGCATATCCTAGGCCAAAGGAGACAGGGCATTAATAAATAGAACCATAGTCCATTAGGTCTGGGTCTGTTACATCATTTTATCAAACAACTAAGAGGAACGAGCAAAATTTGGGTTACTGCTTGCTTAAGTGTCAGTGAACCACTGCCCTGGGAAAATAATATTCTGGGCTGTGGGGTAGCCCTTAGTCAGCCAACACCAAACTTTGGTCCAAGGCATTTACTTTTGTCACTAGTGTAAAGTCTCTGCTACTTCATTTCCACAACTCCTTCAGAAGAATGCTGTCTCTCCCAACAACAACTTCCTGGGAAGTTCTGGGGAAATGCTTATCATTCAGCTAATGCTACATATGTAAGGAGAGCTACTGTTAGGGTCAATGACTCAAAATGGAGAAGCACAGAGGACCCATGGAAACACATGGGGGGGTGGGAAGGGGAAGAAAGGGCGGCTGTTCTCTCCAGGCTGTGTGCACCCTGGACTCTGACCCTTGGGCCCCAGATACTGGTGTGGTCCCAGCCTGCTCCCGAGGGTGTGGGCATGGCTTAGAAGAGGCTTGCTGGGGTGGGCCGTCAATGAACTGGAGTGTGAGAATCTACACCCAGCTCACTCCTAGTCTTATGATCCCCAGGGGCTGGGTTGGGCCTGGGGTTTTACCAGGGGTCAGGTTTATTTCCTGGCATACTCCGGTAAGGCCCTGGAACCATCCTTGGCACCCACAGCCGTTGTCTACCCAGACCGCACCAGGTCAGAGTAGTTGGGTTAAATACAGTCTGGACTCACACCCCCAGGGTTGGAATAAGACCAATCTGGCCTCTGGGGGACCAGGATGGACCAAGAGATGTATGTCTGTTCAACCCATCACATTCTTTACTATAGGTGTTTATGCCTGCTATTTGGGGAGAGCATTGTAAGTTGGCCATAGTCACAAAGGATGGATTCACAAATGACCACAGCTTAGCTCCTAAAAACTCTGGGTTAGTCTACTGGGAGGGCAAGGGAGAAGCAGCACTGCTACAGAATACCCTTCTGAGGTGACTGATCATGCCAGACGGACTCCACCAATTTCACTACAAAACAGTCCCCCTATGACACTTCAGAAGAAACATGGCTGGAATGACACAGGACATGGCACTAGTTGAGTTTGCGACTGTGCATTTCTTAAGGAACGGGTGACATTTTTTTAAAAAGTTTATATTTCTCCATGTCAAATGTTTTACATTTAAAAGTGAATATAATGTGATGCGTTGGGTCCCCCATCGTGACTTTGTGAAAAGTCTCCAAGTGGAGTGCAGAGTTGACCCACTGTGAGTGATTAATGATGGGCCAACTCTCCCGCATGCGTACGAGAATTTGGGATGTCTGCTGAGTCAGCATAAGGCCGGCAGGCCACAAAAGTTGCTAAGAGTTTACAAGAAATTTTTAGAAGTTTTAATGTCTTTTTAAATATGTGAATAATATATTTTGAGGGTTCACATGAATCAAACCAAATAATGCCATTTCAAGAGAATATTGATTGTTTAACACAGATGTGATTCAAATCAGTATAAAGGAAAATGAAGGTTTCACAGGTACCTGGTGGTCTCTTAAAATGCAAACACTAATGCAAATGTTGAAACGGATTTACCTTATCATTTCTTTCACATAGAAACTTTAACCTTTGAGCTCGCTTATGCATAAATACTCCATCCAAATGTCCTGTTTCCACTGACCGGATCTCAATAGCTTTCTCGCCCCAGCCCATTATCTGATTGGAATGAATGTAGGCTGTCAAAAGGAATTTCCAAAACTGCATTAAAAACATTAGATGGGCAATAACTCACAGCATCTGTTCACATCTTAACCACAAAAATGACAAACGACTTGAGATAAACAGACAAAGCAAGTCTTACAAGTGTTATTCACAGACTGGTTTTTTTTGTTTGTTTGTTTTTGTTTTTTGTTTTTTTGTTTTTTGTGGAATCAAATGGTTGTTTCACATTTCTTGACTTTCGTTTCATTTGGGGGGTGTAACTGCTGAAGGAGATAAGGAATGGTTAACCTACCCACAGACGTGGGCATTTCTCCCCATTGGAGCACCACATCCTTAGTTATCCGGCCATAGGTGTTTACATACACCCCCTCATCCTCATAGCAAACAAGCATTTCCATTCCATCTGTTTTAGGCAAGATGACAATGGCATGAGGAGTGATATTGCCCTGAATCTGGGAGACAAAGAAAGGCCAGGCATTATTCTTTTTAAAAATAAAACAGCATCTTGACTATTCATCTCTAAGAATCGCAAAAAAGAGGATCCCCTCCCTCCTCCCCCCACCCACCATTTTCATTCTAGAGACTGACATTTTGCTTTGCTTTGCTTAATTTAACCACTGACCTGTCAAATACCTATACAAATACAGACTTAGGCATTAGGTCGAGAATCCAATTGACCTGTTCCCTAAAAACAACTACAGGTATAGAACACCGACTATGTGCCGAGCCCTGGGCTCTTTACATATATCATTTCTAGTCCTTAGAACAGTTCCCTGTGGTAGATATCGTCCTCTACAGACGAGGCATCTGCATGTCAGAGGGGTTATGTAGACTGAGCAAAGCTGCACTGGTATTTGGTGGTAGAACTGGGATTTGCGCACATGTCTCATGGACAATAAAAAATCACTTGTTTTCCATCTATTTCTAAAAAAAGACGAGGGGAATGCAAACCAGCTGAATCTGATGGAAACAGCCTAAACATGGTCAAAGGTGGGACCCAAAGAGACGCCTACCAAATAGGCTCTGAGCGTACAACACAGACTATCTGGGTGCCTAAATAACAGAATAATCCAAATTAATGGCTTATTGAGAAAAACATTTAAAATGATCACTCATTTTATTGGAATCAATGTAGATGGACTTGTTGTGGGAGGGGAGATGCAGTGCTGCTGGGGTCCCCGGGCTGAGGCTGACATGGCAGCCCGCTAGTTGCCTGGCGGGGAAATGAGAGGACCAAGGATGATCACAGTGATGCCCCAGTCACCTCACCAAGAACGGGAGCTGTGAGTCCTGTGTACACATGCACACACATGTGTGGAAAGCTAGGATGCAGCAGTGAATGCCGTGTGCGTGTGTGAGAGAGACCGTGTGTGTGTGTGTGTGTGTGTGTGATGTACTGAAACAACTTTTTTCAATCATCGAGCTTTTTTGCAGTAAAGCCTATAAACTCTCAAAATACCAACTGGCAACAGATCAGGCCTCAGACTCTCCTGACGGTGTCTACTGTATGTTAGCCTTGGGATCAGGTGCAGGAAACATGACTTGCACTGCACCCATCCTAATAAGTGACACCAGGCGCCGTATTTCTGTTTGACAGTCAGGTTTTAGGCAGTGTTCCAGTGTTATAATGTTCATACGACAATTTGCAGGGGCTTGTGCCAAGTACCTTAGAGGTATTACCTCATTTATTGCTGATGATAACCCTCTGGAATGGGGACTTCTATCCCCATTTTACAGATGGGAAAGCTGAGGGCTCGAGAGACTGTCTAATGTGCTCATTGTTGCAAAATAAACACAGGCTAGAGCCAGGGTAGGCCTCCAGTGTCTGATTCTACTACACAACACTCCCCTCAAGTTGAAGAGAGCAACAAAGACAGCAAAAGGGGACCACAGACTTCCCAAGTCACATGAACCCATCTCCCTTCAAAAACTGAAAATAGGAAGTTGTCTATTGTACTCTTGCTTAAAATACACAATTTATGCCCCAAAGGAGAAACATCATACACATTTGAATCTAAAGTCCAGTAAGACAACATATCTAGTAAATGGCAAAGAATTGCTGTTATGGGTTACTTAGTTTTAAGCACTCATAAAAATCAATTACAGTCACATGTTTTATGTATTAAAAGCATTGTCTATTTAGTGAAGGCTTTTAGCCTTGATAGTGCATCTGCTGTACCGATTAACAGAAATTAGCATGACTTCCACTAAAAATGTGCAAGAACAAATCCCTTTTCTACATGCGTTGTTGTAGAACTCAGGAACTTACATGAGATGGTATGTAGATATCATAAGAGTTTCCTGAATCAACATCAATTACATGAAAACCAGTGTGTGATCCAAAAATAACCTTCAATCTTTGACCTTCTTCTACCGTGAGATCAACAAGCAGTGGCTTGTGCTGGAGATCTGCAAAAGACTTTAAAAAACATCCCATGAGTGTCCACATCATTTAAAGAGATTATCTTAATCACTGTTTCTTTTAGCACAGCCTGGTGGAAGTTAATGTCTGGCTTTCTTACACTGAAAAGCCAAGAGATTTCTCTTTCAGCTTAGCTCTATTCGTATTCTGGCTCTAGGAGGAAGGGTCTAGCACTCATTTGTGGCCCCTTCTCCACCCCTTGTCCTCTAGGGCAGAGAAGAGGTTTACAGTTGTCAATTTCGACAGTGTCGTTATCCTTGAAGAACTTGGCATCCGGGTGCTGCTGTTCTTTCCTCTTTATTTCTGGCCTTTTTTTCTCTGGAGAAGGCCCAGCCACCTCTCTGGCTCCTTCCCTTCCCATGGAACAGCTGGGCCCTTGCATGGCCATGACCCTTTCAGAGACAGCCTGGGGTGGGCAGCTGGACCAGCTCTGTGCTAAGTCTGTTCAGAATTAACGGGCACACTCTGGTTCTGATTTTCCTTCAATGAGTGAGTAGACATCAGATTGGCACCTTCTTTAAATGTACTGCTGAGATCTGAGACTTGGGTTTGGGCAATAGAGAAGGGGGGGAGGTTGGAACATCACAAAACTCATGGCTTACATAGGCTAGTTCAGCTTAAGTAGCAAGGAAAAAGAGAGCTCTACCCAAGTTTACCAAGGTTCCATGTGTTTCAATCCAGAGCCCAAGCCCCAACTAGCTGCCAGGCATTCCTCTGTTTTCTTTTGCCATTATTTCAGCACAGTCTACTTTTATTGGGCCTTGACATCTGGGAGAGAATTTGCGAAACCACAATTTACTCAGCTATAATGTCACTGCCACCCAATAGAGCCCTCTTTCTTCAGCTTTGGCTAACGGAGTCTCACGGTAGGGGAAGCTCCCGTCCTTCCTGTTCCAGTCCTGGCTTTCATGCTGCCCTCCTGCCAGGCTGGGCGTGGTCGACTGAACACAGCATTTTGCACCATTTCATGCATTTTGACTGGTAAACTGATGGCAGTAACTTCCGAACCAGAGTCAGAACGGGACCTTGACTGAGAAACTTTTTTGTGGCCCCAGATTTTGGCACAATGGCAGCACCGCTTCAGCTTTTAGATGTCACCCCTTAAGTGTTATTACTAACCTAATACATTCCAACACTTTCTCTCCATAAAAGTGGGGTTCTGGAGGAAGAACATTTCCCCTGATGTATCTATCTTCCTGAGCACATCACAAATGAGCTCCTTGCACCAGGGGAACAAGACAGCCTCAAAGAGTGCCTCATGGTGTTCCCAAGGCAGCTTCTGCCCTCACATGGCGTAAGTGGCCAGAAAGAATACAGAAAGGATCAAGGGAAGAGGAAAGTCACAAGGATGGGGAGAAAATGTGAGGGCCAATGTGCTATGAAGAAAACGAGAGACACAGGCAGAGAGAGACAGGGGACAGAAGAGAAATTCACGTGGGCTCTGGATAAAGTCTGCAGCTCTGGAAACACCCAAGTGCCTGTACGTACGGTCCTTCTGGCATTTGGGAGTCAACTTTCATGAGCTGGGGTCCATCATACTAGCATATCCTAATCCCACTCCTGCTGAGTGTCATGAGTGACCAAGCCAACCATGGTGGGTACAGGCTCAGATAAGGTCCAAAATGAAAAAGCAGAATGCAGAGAAACTAAGCCATTTTCTTGTGGAACTACATTCAGTATTCATTTCAGAGAAGTCCAATAATTGGGGATATATGCGCATTATGCGAGTTGTCGGGACTCTACCCCAAAAGGCTTATAAGGATGACAAGATTTGGAGACATGGTTCATCCTTGAGATTTGGAACTGCTGTTGGTCTGCCTTTTTGAGATGACGTATCAGAGATTACCCTAGTTAAGTGCCTTTATGATGACTTATATTGCCTAATATCACAATTAGTGCTTTGCCCAGTAGCCATCCCATACTAAAGGCCCCTAGGAGACAATGATTTGTAGACCTGATATGGAGGAGGGCACAGCCCAATTTTTTCCCCATTCACTCATCCCCCACCCCCAGTAAATTTTATAGCATGTATTAGTGCTTAGTCTTTGCTTTTGGAATAATAAGCCTAAGAGCTCCTCTATTTTTAAAGGGGGTTTATTATATATAGTAGAATTGGTCCTAGTCGATGTGCAAGACAGACAACTTTGTTAACTGGTGCGAACATAAAATTAAAAAAAAAACAACCCTTTTTTAGGTAATTGCGCGCTCGCTTACCTTAAATGCCATGAACTTATGATACGGTTTAGGAGCCCAAGCATATATCTCCACAGCATTCTTTAAGGCAATCACTAGGAATTTAATCCTTTCATATTTAACTGTAATAGACAAATTATAAATTAAAAAAGTATACCAACTTATTCAGCTTTTTGCATATGTAAATACACATTATGTTCTCGGTGGGAGATTTGCTCATTGATACAGACTGAACTTTCTTTAAAGCACTCGGTCTGCAGAATACTTGGGGCATTTTGCTTTATACTGAAGCTTCTTTTCTTCATCTGAAGGCTTAGGATTCTCTTTAATCGCTAGGTCTAGATATGAATTATTCATTGTTATAAGAACCTGCATAGTCACCTTCATGTTCCCCTCCCTGGCTTTTACAGTCACCCACATGCTAGAAGCTGAGAGCTGGTATGGCCAAATGGTAGAAAAATTAGCAAATGGGTAGAGATGTAAAGGTGGCCATTTGCTTATTATCCAAATTTGAATTCCAATTATTAGGGATTTAAAAGTGGTTAGTGCCTTTATAAAAAAGGCCCTAGAGAGATCCCTCTCTCCATACACTGCATGAAGTTGTAGCAAAAAAACCTGCTGTGTATGAACCGGGAAGCAGGCCCACAGCAGACACTGAGTCTGCCAGCACCCTGATCTTGGTCTTCCCAGGCTCCAGAACTGTGAGAAATGCCTGTTGTTCATGGTATTCTGCTATAGCAACCTGAACAGGCTAACACAGTACATGTGGCAGTCATTTCTTTTGTAGAATATTTGAATGAACACAATACTCATGTCCTAAAGAAACTGGACAGCCCGCAGCAATGAACAAAATTCTTGCTCCCTGGGCTCTTTTTCTTTAGTGTGCCCCTGCTGTTTACATATTCTGTCTTTAATATACTTTCAACTACTTCCTTGGTTATTTACTTCCATATTTCTAAATAACATGCTTATAATGTTATTTCTTGATTTTTTTTCTGCTGGAGGTATTATCTATTGACTTGAGAGTATGGGAAGGATTTAGTCTCTTAGAACCATCTCCTCTCTCTAGTTCTCTCTCTCTCACACACACGTTTCTTCCTCCCCCACACCGCTAATACAGTTATAGTTCAAATTTTTGGTTAAATCAAGATCCCATGTTGAAATGATTGTTGTTCACAGCTGAGGCATATAGCACACCACAATTACATTTTCTTTCTTGTCTTTCATCTTTTTTCCCCCCACTTCCTTCTTTTCCATACATCTGTCTCTAAGCACTCGGACTTTCTGCTGGTGCTGTAAATGCCTTCAATTCAGTCAAATGTGTCAGGTAATCTATTTGTGACATTTTATTTTCCCTGAAGACACCCCTCTTAGAACACTCCCTTGTCCCACTCTACTTGGACCGATTTCTCTCTAGGCCTATGGCAGAGTTGGCACCCACATTTCCTTCACCATCATTCTGGGTATTTTCTTCACTTTTTACCTGGATTCCTAGGTTTATGCCTTTATTTTGGTGGACTACATCGGCCAGTAGTTTCCTGAGAAACCGTGTATGGAACATAAATGTTGTGAGACCTTGCACATCTGAAAAATGTCTTCATACTGCATTCAAAGTTGACTGATGGTTTGATGGCGTGATGTTTAATTTTATGTGTCAACCTGACCGGGCCACAAGGTGCCCAGATATTTGGTCAGACATTGTTCTGGGTGTGTCTGTGAGGGCTTTTCTGGATTATATTAACATTTGAATGGGTACACTGAGGAAAGCAGAATGCCCTCTCAGTATGGAGGGGCCTCATCCAGTTGATTACAGACCTGAATAGAATAAAAAGATTGAGTAAGAAGACACCTCCTGCCTGACTGTTGAGCTGGGAAACTGGTCTTTTCCAGACTTCAGATTGGGCCTGAGACTCTGGCTCTCCTGGGTCTCCAGCTTGCCAACTACAGATCTTGGGCCTCCATAACTGTGCGAGGCAACTTCTATAATAAACCTCTTTATATAGAGAGAGTATATTTACACACACATATATGTATGCCTCTTACACACACACACACACACACACACACATGTATGTGTGTATCCTATTAGTTCTGTTTCTCTGGAGAACCCTGGTTCATACAGATGGGTTATAAAATACTAGTTGAAGGCTTTGTTCCATCATCTTCTAAGTTCTAGTATTGCTGCTAAATCTCAAGCCACCTAATATATAAACTATTTGTTTATTTATTTAATTATAATCTGGAAGCTTTAAGGACCTCCTCATTTCCTGGGTACTGAAATGTTATGTTAATATATCTTCCTGTGAGTCTTCTTTCTCACTCACTATACTGGGTATTCACAATGAGTCCTTTTAATTTGAGATTTTAAGTTCTTAGTTCTAGAAATTTTCTTACATTGCTTTTTTGATACTTTCTTCCCTTTCCAATTCTTATTTTCTCTTTTTCCAAACTCATGTTACTTAGATTTTGAAGCACTTGGACTGAGCCTTTTGCTTTCTTAACTTTTGTCTCCTTTCCTTTTCTTCTTGTCCTACTTTCTAGAAGATGCCTCATCTTTATCTTCTGATACATCTACTACACTTTTTATCCCTGCCAATATATTCAAATTTCCAAGAACTTTTTCTTGCTCTCTGAATGACCTCCCCTGACCTTTTCCAACTGTTTTTCGTAATGGTCCCTATTCTTCTCTTCTGGAAAGAGTTTTTCTAATCTCTCTGAAGTTATTACAGTTTCTTTTTAGTTTTCTTCCACTCCTCATTATCTTTGTTTCCTTTAAAGTTCTTTCTTTCTGTTTAAGTTTCCTTCCTATTAGTGGATGTCCCCATATCTGGTACAGGTGTGGGCTTCAGGTTTAGATGGTTAGATAGCAAGCTTTCCATGGCACTTCAAATATTAGTACCTGGACATCTTTTCTTTCTGGCTATTTAGTTTCTCCAAAGACAAATCTTTCAATCTCTTGCTTGGGTATATAAGTATGGCTGCCAACATTCTAGGAGCTAAACAGGGGAAGTAGGGTATGTGTATGTGCGTGTGTGTGTGTCTGTCTGTCTATCCTGGCAATTCCATATTCCCACAATTCAGATTGGCTGTGCCAACTTTTCATCCTCTGTTGCAGTGGGAGAGAACTTGCTGCTCATCACCCTTCGAATAATCCTTCTGTTTTCAGTTCCACTGTATACCTCCATCTCAGGAGCTTCAGACCTTGGGCCTTTCTGGGTTCTGTAAGTGGCTGGATTGATTTTGATGACTTTCCTCACTGCAGACATAGAAGTCAGCATTTCCTGCTCATCTAGGTTAGTTACGCATCATCCAGCTATTCTTGTTCAATTCTGTTGACATCTCTTGTTTGCTGGTTTCTCTTCTTCTGGTCCCTTTGTCCTTGTGGGTTTATGGCATTTTTATTCCTTCACTGTCATTTTAATGGGTATTTGGGAGAGAGTGGACCTAAATGTTTAAACTGGAGCATAGGACTTTAGTCTGAATGCACTCTTAGAACTTCATCAATCTGACATTTTGGAACAATGCAAGTATACCTAAAGTTCTAACAACATCTTAAACTGGTAACAAATACATCATCAATACCTACCAGAAAAAAATGGAATGACACTTAAACTGAATAATTAGGATTGAGTAAACAATTCCATGTCTTGACACTTACCAACTTTGTAATGTATGCAGCCTTCCAAGTCCCCGACTGTGATCCAGCCTTGTTTCTTTTCTACTTCTGGGTCATTGTGTAGTATTCTGTTTCTTAACCATGAAAGATAATAAACTCGTAGTTTGTTCTTCTTTCCTGTTGAAATAAAAGAGCTCTAATTTCAAGGCCCTGTGACAACCTTTTCTCTCAGTCCTTCCCCATCTCTGTTTTATTTTATTCACTTATTTTTATTCTATTTACAATTGTGTAGGTGTGTGAAGGCACAATAACCAGTGTCCCCAGCAACATCAAATTGTTGTCTATGCCAACAGCTCCAAGTGTTTTGGACAAATCACCATTTTATAATTTGTCTTTACCTTCAGGCAGTTTCTTATTTGAGCAAGCTGCTCTTTCTCTTCTCAATGGAAAGGGCAGTGTCAAGACCTAATTCTGTAAGGAAGAGTTGGTCAGAGTTCCAAAACATTCTAGATCGAATCACATGAAGGAATGTTGATAACTGGAATTTTAACATGCTTATATGTGGCTGTCTTCCCCTCACCTTCTAACCTAACAGCGTATGTCAATGGGAGCCTCTTATTCACCTCCTCGATTACTTTGAAGATGACAGCTGTGAGTAGTTTTACTTTATCTGACTAACAGAAAAGAATTATAAGGAGACAAGAGACACAATTTCAATGAAGGCAAACCAGGCTCAGCAGAGAACCCTGGACACATCTATGATTCTGAGATCACGGAAAGAAATACCAAACAAAAATAGTAGAGGAAAAGAGGTTTACTTGGGAAAAACCAAAGATGTGCACTTGGGAAAAAACAAAGTTCCCTTTGGTAAAGCGCTTCTGGAATAGGAATTCAACGATAAGAAAACATCTTAAAAATGTTGAGGAGGACACAGGAGCAAAATTCAATATACTCTGTGAGATTATCTGAGTACCAGATAAGAAAATGTTCCTTGGGGTGGCTTTTCCTTTATTGGGGGTGGGGTGGGGAGGTGGTTATTCCTAAGTGATCATTTAGGCCTGTGGGTTATACTTCTTGGGTACTTATTTTCTCTTGACTTCTCTTAGGCAGCAAAGGATGTTTTATATTTTACAGATGTGATATATATATAAGAACAAGAAAATTCATTAAAGCGTTGCACACTGGATTTGACAGGACAGTGCGTTCATCAATGAAGGGAGTCACTGCGCAGCTGTGATTCCTTTTTGCAGTCCAAGGCCGGAATGGATCCTAAGAGCTAGGAGGGCCAGAAAGGCCAGTGCTTGCTCCTTTCTACGCCAATGCAGATCTGAGGCCAGTTGCTCCTATTTTCGTTCTTTTTTCCCCATCTATACTTCATGGTAAGAGGAGATGGTTACTTTTTTAAGAATGGGAACGTGTCACTCACAACATAATGAAGGCTGAATGTGAATTTTCTGGCATCATTTCCACTTTCGGTAGGTGAGTGGCAGATGTATGTTTTAAATGTGATTTGGTGGGACCGCAGTCAGGCAAGCAATCAACAAGAGAAAAAAAAAAAGACTACACCAAATTAAGATCAAATGATGATACAAGAAGAATCTACTTGGCTCTTTTTGGGGAGAATAAAAAGAGATGAAACTCTGAGCACTCAGAGCTGATCCCTGGGCCCTACTCCCAGGGATTCTGACCCACAGGTCTGGGGTGCATCCTGGGTTCTTCCCATCATGGTTCTAATGTTTCATACTGGGTGGGATGGGAAGCCAGGGGGGAAAGGGGATATTATTTATTAAACTCCTTCAAACGTCATCAGAAAGCAAAGAACTTTCAATAAACACAGACTCTTTCAGGTTACACTGAAAACTTGTCAAGTAATAAGGTCTTCACTTCTGTGTCCGTATTTTTTTAAAGTTCTTTTTTTGGGAACCGGAAAGCTGCAGGGCGTAGCTGTAACAACTCCCACATCCCAATCTCTTTGCAGACTCAGCCACCTAATGGGCCAGCTGCACTTGCTGAAACATCAACGGAGTATAAGCTAGAACAGTTCGTGAGAGAAAAGAGACCAGAGAAGTTTCTGCTTACAAAATTCTCCACTCTGCAAAGTCTACGTTTTGATAGTCTCCACCCAGGAGTAGGCAGCAATGACTAGAGCTCAGACTTCAAAAGCTCCTTGCTGAGTCCCGGCAGAGGTTAAAGGCCTATAAACAAACAGCCTCTGTGGTACGTCTGCCTGATTCAGAGATCATACAGAGGAGAGAGGTTTCCCTTCGGAGGTCAGGATCTCCAGAGTTACAAAACAGGGGTGATCTCGCTCTGGCTATCCTGCTATAATTTACTGTGTCACTGTTAGCCAGGGAGGGCAGAGCTTGCTGTTTTTTCAAGACTGAGGTGATGGCCTTTCCCACCTATGCAGACCCAGGGGTCTCGGTCATCCTGGAACATACTGGTAACATACCTGATATAGTCACCAGGACATTCAGTCCCTCTAGCACGTCCATCTGCTGAAATCGCCTCCGGTTGATCAGATTATAGACTTTGCCTTGCCCACTTCGGTCCAAAAGCATCAGGCCATTTTCCGTTCCCACCAGGAGGTTTACACCTGCAAATTTAAGGAGCACCCCAAGACTGACTTTTTATATGCTTCAGCCTTTCTGCATCTGGGGTCCCTGTGAAACCTAAGAAACCGTGCCTTGTTAATATAAACTAATGGGCAAGTAGGTACTACGGTAGGGAGTGAAGAGGTCGAGGCTCTGCCACGGTAATTAAATCACTGCCCCTCTGGTAATAAGATTAGTTTTCTTTTATAAAGTGGTAGCAGCATCCATTACATCTGGCCATGTACCACTAGTATAGAGTCCTTCTCACGAGAAGCCTTGGGCACAGCTGTGACGCCAGCACAATTAGCCTTTATTCCTTTCCTATAACACCCATCCCTTTCCTGGCTTTCTCTATAAATCCCACCTCGAGACACGCCCAAAGTTCATCCCCACCCCTGTTCGCGCAGGGATTTCTAGCCTACCCACCTTCAACATACGGCAGAGTGCCCCATTTCCACACCGCACTGGAAGAAAAGCCTTTCCTCCTTCTCACACCAAAGCTTACATATGTCTCATACCCTCAAGGCTCTGCTGTCTGTCAGGGAAATGACAGGCCAATGCAAGTGAAGGTGTTAGTAGCCTGAGAGTTGCAGGGCTATAAGGCACCACTCAGATATCTAAATCTGGTCCAGCCCATCTCCCGTGCACGAATCCCTATTACAAAAGCTCTAGCAGGTAAGTGGTCTTGTCTAGATAGCTGCCATCCTAAAAATTCATGCAAATTAACTCCCACCTGCCCTGCAACACACACACACTCACACACATACGTGCACACACGCTGAGGGTCCACTGTGTGGGACTATATTCATGAACAGGTAACTCTCTAACTTCTCTTGCTTTTGTACATTTATTTTTTGAGTGACATGAATGTCTATTCTTTTGTCCATAAATTATTCCATATTAAACATGGCCATCTTGTCTCCCGTCTCTTCTCCAGAGGACAGAGCCTTACTCCTTCCATCGTATCTCCCACGAAATGGTTCCCGGCCTTCATCCACTTCTACGAACATCTCAAATGCTTTTGCCCTTATAAAACTGTGGCGCCTCAAACTAGGCTTAGTATTTTAGGTGGATACAGAGGGGCCACGTCCTTCCTTAATCGATATGTGACATTTGCAGTAACACAGACCAGGACTTTGATAGAATCTCACCCAACCTAAACTGAGCTTGACGTCAGCTAAAACCCATGCATCATTTTCATAGGAACTGCAGGTTGCTGTTTGAACTAGAAAGGAAAGTTCATCATCTGTTGTCCTTTTCAAGTTTTGTCTTGCTACTACTGGCCTTTGACAATTCACTCAAAGATGCGAGGCTGGCTATCCAGCTGTGAAATGGGGGCGATGCCTTTCCTCCCCTTGCAGGATATTGTATAGGTCACAGAGGCAGAGTGTGGGGCACATCACATGGTGCTGGGCACATGGTGGGTGTGTGGTAAGTGGTAGCTTATTCTCTTACTGACTTGATAGCCTGTCACTATTATGTGACGAGGTCATTCTGAATCTGATCTTGTTATCCTGGGCGTTAGGTCATCAGGTCTTGCTCCATGTAAAACTGCTCTTGATCCCTCCTGAGGCCAAGACAGTCCTGTGTGGGGACTCTGACACCGAGATTCAACTACTGCTCTCCAGATGGTAAGCCCCACAGGCTTTTAAGGTTTGAGGGTTGATCTCTTAGTAAGCGGTAAAAAGCAGCACTTACCCCAGAGAGCGGCACAAAGTATTTCCGAGTTGAATCGCTTCTTATATTTTCTGATTTCTGGTGTGTCGCTATGAGGTCGAATGTTGGTTGGGTTTACGTTTACCACTGAAATCTTTCTTGCTTCATTGAACTTGGCCTGTTCTTGCCTAAGAAGTTCGCTAGTAAACAGAGCTTTGAGAAAAAGAATCGGAGAAGTCACTGGCATCTTAAAAAATAAGCAATGGAGATACGGAGAAGGCACTTCAGAACACTATCATTTCTCCCTGTTCAGTGGGAATTAGAGAAAAGGCAGAGAAACTCTGCAGCTATGCATATTTTATACACTTTTTAAAGTAGAATACAGTATAAGTCATTCACAGAAGCATTATTTTATCCATTAGTAAAACAGACTTATGGATACGACTTGGGTAGTTTAGAGAATAGATACTCATCTCACAAAATTGAACACACCATCTCCTATATCATACACAGCAAGATTTACTTTTTAAAATTCCGTATCATCAGCTGAAAAACTGGCCTAAGCTTCCCTGGATGATTAGTGAGTTGCGTAAGTCCAGAAAGCATGACTCTCCTCTAAATCAGCCAGACCCGGGCGGTAGGAAGCACACACCTAGAACCCAACACAACTCGACACGCACTTATTAAGTGTCTACTGCGTGCACAGCATTGTACCCAGAAATTGCTTTTGAGAAGTATGTGGTAAGTTTGGAGGTCTCTGAGGAACAGCTTTTCCCAGGGCCCCTGGATACCTCTGGGTTCCTACCAGAAGCAAAATAGAAGAGATGAAAAAAAAATGGAGAGAAAGAAATTGTTTTAGAAATCCTACAATAATAATAATAATAATAATAATAATAAAAACAAAACAAAACAAAACAAAACACAACTTCCCTTTAAGGCAGGGCTTAAGCAGAAAACGGCTTAACTACTAGACCGATAAGCACTGGGTGTTGTATGAAAACAATGAATCGTGGATCACTGCGTCGAAAATGGGTGATGTATTGTATGGTGACTAACATAACATAAAAAAAAAAAAACAAACTACCGGACCAACAATTAATTTCATTATCAGGTCTTATCAGAAAGGAAAACCAAGCTGTTACTAAAACATCCAGGCCTTCTAACTTACCCGCAGCTGATGATTCTTCATCTTCTTCATCTTCATCAGTGGGAGATGTCTGGTATACCCTGGGGTCCACAAAGGGGGTGAAGGAGGCCTTTGTGCTGCTCCCCATGCCGTACTAATCGATATGCAAGAGGATTAAGAAAAGCAGATAAATACTACAGGAATGAACAATGCCAGGAATATTTTGCTTGGGCTTTAAAATGATAACAGATTCTTCCATCTGTTTAGCTGTTCACACTCTAACCCCCGAGTCCAAGTATGTGCCTCTCTCTCCAACTTCTCCTGGTCTTGGTTGGTTACTCACCCATGGGGCCTTTGCTAGGGCCCCATTAATTGTCAGACTGTAAGAGTTTCAGTGAGCAAATTACATTTTGGACAATATGGTAAGATGACTGTGGTGACAGAGCTCATCTCTCCCTTGAAGTAAAGACAACCTCATATTGACCACATGGTCTGAAGAAAAGCTTACCCAACTGGTAATAAACTAAGTCAGCATGTCCACATGGCAGCATTTCATCCCGAACATACAGTCAAGCTCCACTTGGAGCTTTCACGTACATTCTCTCCTTTGATCTTTAGAAGAAGTTTGTGAAGGAGGTGAGACAGGTACTAATATTCCCATTTAGAGCTGGAGCAGAAGCAGAATTTGAACCAGAGTCCAATCCCATGGGCTTCTTCTTGGTACCGCGAGAGGTGTTCAGGCAGAGAAAACCTGCCTGCACCGCGTGAAGCCACGCCACGAGAGGAAATGCTGCACCTTCCAGTACACCTCTGTGTTCCTTCCCTCGGGCTAAACAAAGCTCATCTGCTCAGTAACTATAGAATCCAAGGGGTGTATCAGGAAAACTGTGTGGACAGCATCAAAAACTCCAGTGCATATGCTTCCTCATTAGCTTCAGGGCCTATGTGTGACTCACAGGACTATTCATGAAACATGACCAAGCACCACGAACTCAACCACCGGTCAAGCCTGGATGACCACACCTACGAGCACTGCCTAGCAGACTGGATTTATTCAGGCCATTTCTATACAGGAAAGATAATATCTCAGTTCTGCCTTTCCCATTCAATTTGGAATTTAGGAAGAGGAATGCTTGGCGAACCTATCTATTTTTATCTTTCATTTAACAAATAATTTCAACCTCATTTTAGGTCCAACTTAGTTTGACTAAATTGATGTAAACATGAATCTCAACTTAGCCTTGGGATGTCTATAAGCTGTAGTTTCTAGCACTGGCCTGGGAGATAGGAAATCCCAGTTCTACAGAAATCTCTCACAAACCAGTTGTATGCCTTGGGCAAGTCCCTTAACCTCTCTGAGCCTCAATATTCTCATCTGTAAAAACAGGTTTTGGGCCAGACGATCTCTGAGAACATTTACCGCTGTGCTTCTGTGATTTTCCTCCATTTAAGTATTTGCGTAAGTAGTTATATAGTAGAAACCAACCAAACACATTTCCAGGAGCTTAGCAAAGCCTCATTCCTGAAGCCGGCTCCCCACCTCACCCCCCGCCCCCCCACGGGCTGAGAACAGAGCTGTGGAGGCTATTGCCCAGCACCTACTTCAGTCCCGGCTTCCATCTCCTGGGAATGGGTGGAGACACGCCCCAGGCCCTCAGTTGGTGTCCCGGCCGGGGAACGGCTCTGCTGCACCAGGTCTGGGAGATTGATGTGGCCAGCAAAGCCATTGCTGTCACTGTGGCCAGATCGCTTCTTCTCTCCAGATGTCTGGGGTGGGGGCACAACACATGGGGAGCATTAGACAGGGATTAGAGAGGGAGGGCAAAGGCCATGGAGTGATGTCACCCCTCATATAGCACAGGCACAGTGGTCTCCAAATGGACCCGTTGGGGTGTGTGGGAAGATAACCTCCACATTTCTATTTTACTAAGAAAATAAAGAAGAAGTTAAACTTTGTTACTATTTAGCATATGGACTGACCATGGGGCCTTTTGCTTCTGCCTTCAGGGCCACACGGGATGTGGGGGTTCCCTGGGAGAAGACAGGAGGTGGAGGGGCTGAGCACCCAAGGTCCGCATTTGCACGGTCCCCTTCTGCCGTGTTTGTGTGTGTGCGTGTGAGCACACCAGTTAACGGGACTTGCAGATTATATGACCAGGTCACAAGACACAAATCCACAAGACACACACCCATGACCTAAAATATTGCTGAAATGAAGAGGTTGGGATGAGATAATGCTAAGAATCCATGTACCATGTAGCCCAAGAAAATGCAGAGATGATATCAACCAGACTCACAGGGCTCTTTGTCAGTTGTGAGGTCAAAACAATGATTAATGAATCAGATCTGATAGGAGTTACAAAAGAGAATGTACTGAAATAATCTACAGATTATTTGAAACTACGGGTTTATGTCTGCTATTAATATTGAAACTCTCATAAGCAATTATGGTGTCGTGTAGTAAAGAATGGAAGTCATCATGACTAGCAAAGTATTTGAAATATTGTTTATGGCATCCCTTTTTAATGTCCTCTCAAGGTATTTTATAATCATATAATATGCGCAGTAGGACACATGCATGATTTGTAAATAAATACACTCTAATTATGGGGCACCTGGGTGGCTCCGTCGGTTAAGTGTCTGACTCTTGATTTTGGCTCAGGTCATGATCTCAGGGTTGTGAGATCGGGCCCCACATCATGCTTAAGAGTCTCTCTCTCTCCCTCTCCCTCTGCCCCTCCCCAACTTCTATGTGCATGCTCTTTCTCTCTCTTAAAAAATAATACATTGTAATTATGTGGTGTGCTCTAAAATTTTTCCTGTTAGGGTTGTATGACCTAACAAACCACTGCTCTGGAGAGTAAAGGCTCCTCCCAAAAAGTCCCAGGGAAGAAATACAGGGCTAAAAGACAACTCTGCTTCCTAAAAGCCAGTGCCCACCCTGTAGGCCTGGCTAGTACTGTGCTTCCCGACTTAACATTTATGCGACCAACTCACTGAAGTTTCTTAGAGAAGACCTAAGTAAACGAGTCCCTTCTTTGCCTTTGCTTTCATTCATTCACTCACCTAACATTTCTGAGTGCCTACTGAGTGTGACACGTTTTGCTGAACATGGAGGAATGAGCCAGGATCAGGGCAGGCAGAAGCACTCCTCTCCTTCTTTGGGGGTGGCTGGCATGGCCTCACTGGCCTGACTTCCCCCTTCCAGAGCCTGTCCTGGTCTTGCAAGGACCACTTGGTACCTGCTGCTGGCTAAAAGCAGAAGGAGGCACTTTTTGGGGGGAGACGAAACAGATCCCCAAGTTCCTGAAGGGGTGCATGTAATGGGTGTTGCCAGGGAGCTTGAGAAAGAACTGGAAAGCGGAAGCATGCTCTGTTTTTTGGCAGCATGCTCCTGGCCTGCAGGCCAGGGGTATTTTCTGGATTCATTCTGTCCCGGTGCTCATCCAGGTACTAGTGCCAGTTCTCAGAGCTGAACACTTTGTCTTCTAAATGATATTTATGGGGTTCAGTCCTGATTCATCTCACTGTCTCCAATTTTATGTGTACTGGACAGCTTTTCCTTCCTTCCTTCTAACTTCTGTTCAAATACTGAAAGGCTTTTTAACATTTCCCCCCAATCTCCCAGAAGCATAAGTCACACAAAGTGTCTCTTTAGAGTTTCACGGGTTCTCTATTCTATCCCTAGCATTCTGCCTCAAGCCAAAAACAGCTTATCAAAGAAAGACCTAAAGAGGCTAACAAGGGGAAAAGGCCCAGACAGTGAGAAGCCTGAAGGAATCCAGTGGTGACCCCTGAATATTCCCACTCTGAGTCATCAGCTTTTGTCTATTTGGCCAGCTCCTTAGAATTAAATACCTTCTGTGTGCCAGGCACTCAGCTGGGAACGCAGAGATAAATGAACAACAGCCCTGCCCCCTAGGACCTCCTTGCAGAGCCCATTTCTATAGTCTCTCCACCCTCACCATTCCCATGGGGCTGGGCACTAAGCTGTTCTGACTAACAATATGTATCTGGGACATGCCAAATGCTTTAGGTATGGTATTCCACGCAGTCCTTAAGATAACACCATGGGTTAGCTTTCATTATCCTCATTTTACAGATGGAAAAACTGCAGCGCAAAGAATTCAGCTGACTTGCTCCAAGCGACACAGGTTCTAAGTGCTGCAATCGGGGGCTGCCTGGTGGCAGAGCGCAGGTGCTTTGGGTGCTGCCATACGAGGTGGCTCTGCTCTCAGCCATAGCTGAGTGGACACCCGAACCACGCAGGATCAAATTCCCTTTTGCATTTAATGTTGGGGCGGAGAGACACTGGTCAGTTTCTGCTGGACAGCTGAACTGGGTGGGAGGTGGCGCCTGTCTTGCAATTGGCGGGTGGGAAGAAGTGAGAGCTTGTGCATGCAGAGAGAGAGAAAGCAGGCCTGTGGAGCAGAAAGAACAAAGGAGCAATTGGAGGAAAGAGAAAGGAGGGAGAGGAGAGACAAGGCATCGAGGAAAGCAGAGATGAGAGTAAGGAAAGACGTGCAGTGAGAGAGCCAAAGACAGGCACACGAAAGCTGCCTGGGCTCCTGATCCTTTTTAGTTTCTGGTCCTAGCCCTGCACAGAGTCCCAACTTACTCTCTGCCTCTGGATTCCTCCTATGAAATACCTCTGAATTTTTATGCCTCTATCTCTGATACCAACGCCTCCTTAAGTGTTTTAAGTGGGTTCTTTTTCCTATTATTTCCTATTACCAGCTGGTCAGTAAGAAAGATGCTACGGACAGAGGCCCATGGAGTGCCAAGAGAGGCTTCAGGGAGAAAGGGAAGGCTGAGCCAGACCCACATGGATCTGCTGGGTGAGAAGTGGGCAGCAGGGGCCATGGGGAAGGGAGAATACCTCTTCCAGCAGATGGGTCCCTATGGATGAAGTGGGAGATGACAGCTGGTGTGGTGGGTTCTAGAACTAGAGTAGGGAAAGGTCCTATGGGGCCATAGGATAGGGAGAGAGAAAACCATAGGGCCTGGGTGTGCACTAAATTTGTGCATCTTGGCAAGACTGTGGGTAGTAGAGCCAGTATCCTCTGGGACCATCTTGTCCACTTAAGTGAGAATGCTGACATGAGTGAGTTCTCCTTGATGTCCATCTTGGGGAACTGAAGGATAGCACCCTATAAGCTAAGTTCTATTAGGAGTTCTTCTTTTCTTACTGTTTCGTCAGGGACATACTTTTATTTGCATTCAACTTTTTAATACCTGTACTTTTAATGGATTCCAAGTCAAGGTTTGTTATTTTAAAGGTTCATATTTGGGAAAGGTGGAATTTTAGAAACTGAGAGACAAAAAGGATTTGGGGCCCTCAATAGATCAAATTCATATAAGACACTGGTGAATGCTGTTTTCAAAGTGATTGGCTGTGGTCATAAAATCCTGGAGCGCTTTAAATAACATGGAGCCATTCGGATATGTCTGGCAACTGAATTGAAAATGTGTCTCCTGATAATCTTCCTCAAGGTATTGACTGTCATAAAGACTCAAGCAAATTTTCAACTGCATTAGAAGTCAGAGTCCTTTTATTTGGAGTCAGAGAGTAACTCATTCCGGAACATTTTCCCTCAAGTCTTCCAAGTAGCAAGTTGCCGTCCACACTTGTAGTGGAATTATCCACACACCACACTGGGAGATTTATACACCAGCACTATGCAATGTCAACTGCTGCAGCCGAGTCCATTTCTTATTTCAGGCTTACATGATAGGACTCTTTAAAGCCTACTTCAAAGATTCAGCAAGGCCATATAATGAAATTTTAGCAAGTTGCTTTGGGAACTACTCTTCCAGTTACAGCCCTACTGCCAATTATTATTTCAAAGGCCTTATTCATCTCAAAACTATAGTTCCTTTCTTTCTTGGGAGAGCAAAGCCTGCTATTACGGTTTCCCAAACTCTCCTGGCTGAGGAATGACAGATGATATACATTGTTTCAGAGGCAAGAGTGGGGAGTGATAACGAGTCAAAGAAGAACTCTGTTCTCTGGTGACAGTGAGATAAAATAAAATAGAGTTGACCCTTGAACAACATGGGGGCGAGGGGCACTGACCCCTGGGGGCAGTTGAAAATCCGAATAGAACTTTTGACTTCCCAAAAGCTTAACTCCTGTAGTAGCCCACTGTTGACCGGAGGCCTTATCAATAACATGGACAGTTTATTAACACATATTCTGGATGGGTATTATACACTGTATTTTTATAATAAAGTCAGCTAGAGAAAAGAAAATGTTATTAAGAAAATCATAAGGACAAGAAAATACAGTTACCGTATTAGACTGTATTGAAAAAAAATCCACACGTCAGTGGATCCACACAGTTCATACTCATGTTGTTCCAGAGTCAACTGTGTTTACATTAACTGAATGCTTACATGTATTAACTCACTGAATCCTCCCAATCATCTTATGAGTCATCTACTATTATTTATGAAATTTTATAGATGATAACACGGACCCAGGGGGACATCAAGTCATTTTTGTCCAATGTTACCAGCCATTACTTTCCTTCCAGGCAAAGACTTGGTGGCAAACTTGCAGGATGACGATGAAGTGAAAAAGAAGAGAAGACAAATTCTGATTTGTCAAAGCCCTTCCGGTTGGCACAGGCCCAGTGAGGACACACTGCCTGTGGGAGGACATGCCCCACCCCCACCGCAGTTGAAATGATGTGCCTGAGTTTAAAAAAACAAAATCATACAAAGTGCCAAGGTACATTTCCAAGTAGATCTGCATATTTCTTTGTTCTTTCATCAACATAGCTTAACAACCTTTTTAATGTTGACCTAATTGGATAAGATGAAATCACCCTTCCTTGGAACTTCTAATAATTTTCTACATAAAATCCACAAGGATAAAGCCATGGGGGGAGGAGGCATAACAAGGCCTTGGATGCTGCTGAGTGAGACCATTCATTTCTGTTTTCCTGCTGTAGGAAACATCTGGATTTGCCAGTTTTATATCCTCAAGCTCAAATTCTTTATTAGGATTTGCATAGCTCCTACTGAAGAATCTGGACTAATGTAATTAAGTCACACTGCAGAAGCTTAGAAGGATACAGGAAAGGAGGCGGTGGACAATTAAAATCACTCAGTCATTGAGAAGCATGGGTCCCCCTTGCCCCCGGCCCCCATTCACAAGGCTTAAACTACAGCCGTAAGCATTCTCTGCGAAAGCTCTAATATCGAAACCACTCAAGAAACGCACTTCCTCTGCACAGTTTTTATACCAGCTTACCTCTCTTATCATCAGGGTTCCTTCTCTTGAAATACTGCTGCTGAAAGTGTCCGTGTGAGAGGTCTCCAGCCCGTGCGTGCCGACCATTCCCACATTGTACTGCTCAGTGCTCCCAGGGGCTCCTGTGGGTCTGGGATGGGAAGGAAGGATATTAACAGCAATGTATGTTTAGGGAATGCCCGTTTCTCAGTGTCCTGAACAGGTGTCCCACTCCCGCAGCATCCCCTCCCTGCCTGCTCTCCTCCATACAGCAGCCCTAGCAAGCAAGCTTCAGACTCTCCAAGAACAAAACTGCCCGCCAGGCTCCACAGGGTTTCCAAGCCCTCCCTACTCCTTCTTCCACCAGCAGGCACCCTGACCTGCACTTCGCACATGCTGTTCCCTCTGCCTGGAAAACTGGCTCTTGGCCAGTTGCCTCTCATCTTAATGATACTTAAGTATTTGTATTTCATCTTAAATGATAACTTCCCTTGGGGAGGCGTCTCTCAGCACCTAGGTCTTATCCCACCAACCTTCTTCTTTCTCTTCACCCTTTGTCCTATTCATTCTCATCACAATTTGTGGTTCTTTATCTTTCTGAGTCTCTTGTAACTTTTGCCTTCAGTCTCATTAGAACATATGCTTGTGAGGGCAGTCTTGTCTCTGCTCATCATTGTATACCCAGCGTAGAGCTGGGCACAGAGTGGGAAGGAGTGCAATGCACAGTCATTTGATAAATGGGTTTTACATTATTTACAGAGAAGAAATATCAATTAAGGGCATTCTGGCTTACTAGGACATCCATCAGCTAGGCTATTTACCAATATACAGTATGTTTTAAAACCTCTTGTAATGACTCCACACCGTGGTATATTTATTTTTCAGTTTGTTTCTTATTCTTGTGTTTAGGATGTAATGGAGAAGGTAAAAGGACCTTGACATATACCCTGAGAGCAGAGACTGATGTGAGAGCATGTGTCCTGGGGCACAGACCATAGCATCAAGGAAAACTGAGAACCAGGTAGGTGACGTGGTTCGTCCACAGGATTTCAGTTTCCAATGTGGTCCTCACTGACACCTTGTATTTATTTTATTTTATTTTTTTTAAAGATTTTATTTATTTGAGAGAGAGAAGGAGAGGGAGAGCGTGTGCATGAGCAGGGGGAGGGGCAGAAGGAGAAGCAGACTCCTGGCTGAGCAGAGAAGCCTGATGAGGCTTCCCTCGAGGGACCCTCAATCCCAGGACCCCAGGATCATGACCTGAGTCAAAGGCAGACACTTAACCGACTGAGCCACCCAGGCACCCGCAGCTGCCTCTCTTTTAAAGTGGGTTTATTAAAAATAAAAATAAAAATAAAAATAAAAATAAAAAATGTGGGTATGTTAATTGTATCTTTTACTATTTTGTTCTCTTAATTGTTTCTTATGTATTCAAAAAATCTTTCTGGTCTCTTGGATCCTATCAAGTCCAAACATTTGATAAAATATTCAATTCAAGAAAGAAGAAACATGCCAGATTTCTGACATCTCTGGGACAGAGAAGACATATGTTAAGGATCCAAACAAAGAGGTGAGAAGATGAGAAGGTGAGTCCAGACCAAAAAAATGCATAGCAAGATGCTTACTTCAAAACTACTAAACTGGAGCAGTGGAATGAATCTAAATATCAGTTAGAACCGATGTGTTTGGGAAGAAATTCCAAAGAAGCAATTTCAGTATTGCATTCCCAGAAAGGAGACATTAATAGTGCCCCAGAGACATGGAAAAAGAAATCGCTGCAATGAATGCCTGACATATTGCTAGATTGGTCAATCAGAATAGTTGTCACAACTAGGATATCTTCACTCATTTATTTTAAAGTTTATCTTACCTTGTATGTATTTTTTTTTTAAGCCACCTTCAATTCTTGTTTGGGACAAGACGGTGTGATACAAATTAAGTCAATAAATGAAGCATTTATAAAGAGCCAAAGCCTTCTAGGAAGGGGGTCGCTTCCCTTGTTCACGCAGACATTCTTGGACACTGTCAGAAGCACCACCAGGCTGAGAAGTGTACAACTCAGTTCCCTTTCATCAAGAGAGAGCTTCACGGGAGTTCAAAGGTCAAAGATATTTTGACCCCACTTATTTTTTTTTACCCTGATGATGTTTGATTCTATCCATTTTAATCAGAAATATGCCAATATGAGTGAAACTTTCATTTAAAAAGGTATTTTCTAGAGCTAACTCCATTAGGACAACTCCTTGATCAATTTTCCATATGCCTCAGTTAAACTCTTTGTCAATTTATTTACTTTCATTATTATGTTACTAAAATTATCATCATAGGATCCAATTCTTTTCTATGTAGATTTTATAACAAAGATTTAGTAAACCAATCAAAATTTTTATCCATATCATCTTTCAAAGGCTTCTGTGTCACTATTTCTACCGAGTACAATTTGTCTGGATCAGTTCTAAAGGTGTCAATTTTATTTCATTTTTTACTTTTTTGAAGATTTTATTTATTTATTTGACAGAGAGAGAGACAGAGAGAGCAGGAACACAAGCAGGGAGAGTGGGAGAGGGAGAAGCAGGCTTGCCGCTGAGCAGGGGGCCTGATGCAGGGTTGGATCTCAGGACCCTGGAATCATGACCTGAGCCGAAGGCAGGTGCTTCACCGACTGAGCCACCCAGGCGCCCCTAAAGGTCTCAACTTTATTAAGAAGATTTGATTCACCTGTCCATTTTTAGTCACTAGCAAGTTTTACAGGGCATAGTGTTAGCCACTATCAGTTTGATCTCTTGCTGAATATTTTTACTGAGATTATTTTTTTCCTGGGTCCATTTTTATACTTAAAATTTTATGAGTCAGAATTGCTCCATCTATGATAAATTTTTATGGTGAAGAGTTCAGGCTGTTTTGGTTTTTAAAAATATCATTTCTACTAGTAATATTCCTTATAGATTGAATAAAAGATAATAATCTGTATTTCTTCCTTGGTCAAATTTATCTAGAATGGTGAGCAATTTCTTTTAGTTTAAGGTTTTCCTGGTATATAGGATTCTATTTCATTATGAACCTTTTATACATATTTGCTCATTCTGTGTACCTTGTATTAATTAACCACATCATTAATTTTTCTGTTACCAATAATAGCTTTTGACTATGGAAAATTCCTACAGACTTCTGTATGTTCCAAATCACCTCTCTATAGAATTTTTTTTTTAATTTTTAAGAAGTTTATTTATTTACTTAAGTAATCTCTACACCCAATGTGGGGCTCAAACTCACAACCCTGAGATCAAGAGTCGCATGTTCTTCCAACTGAGCCAGCCAAGTGCTCCCAGAATTCTTTTTAAAAGGCATGGTACCTTCCTTCAAATACAAAGGTTCACTGTTCAAACTGTTGCTCCCTGTACTTGACTTCTAGCATCTCAAGGACGCTCCTTAAGTCATTTCTTAGCTCTCAAGTTCAGTGACTGCTCTTTGATAGTTTGGGTATTTGGCCTCTTGTCTGTCTACTATTACTGATCCTTCCACTCCATCCTTTTCTATTCCCCTGACCATGTCACTCTTCTGCTTTCAACCTTCAGGAGCTCCCAATTAACCAGAGGATAAACCTGTGGCTTACAAGCCTTCTTTTATCTGGTCCTTGCCTATTTCTCTAGCTTATGTTTTCAACAAAACCTACCTTCCATTTTTAACTCGAACAACATGTGACTTCTAGTAGTTTCCTACACACATCATGCTACCAAAACCGGTTGGGCAATTTTAGTCTATCTTCTCGTCCTGAATGGTTCTTTCACACTCTCTGCCTCCCTCTGGGTACCTTCTCCTTTAAACTGCAGTCCAGGTACTCCTAAACCCCATCCCAGCCCCACTGGGATGATATAGGTGGCTCTCCACTCTGCTTCTACATTAGCCTCTGCACACCTCTAACTATGCACTCCATACACAGTCCCGCAATGGTCAGATCCCAGTACTGTTGGCATCTTCAGTGCCAACCACTGTCACAGGCAGGTGACATCCAATAAATGTTTCATAAGTCAACAAAGGCTTTGTTCAATAATTCTAGCAAACATTTCATTCAAGTTTATTGTCAAAAGATAGCTCTTTTATGAACTGATGAGCAATCAGCTATGAGAATAATTATTACCATGTTTGAAGTGTCCTGAATAACTGTTTTGTCTTTTTAAAATTTAAAAAGCAATTTCAGCATTGGATCACTGTTATATATGGGTTATGCCAAAATAATTTTCTTGTAATTGTTATTACAGGATCACCAAAAATTGGTTCAGGTATGTCACTGAACTTCATAGTATGGAGAGTGAACTTTGATATATGCAAATAAAAATAAATCATTTAGGAGGTTGGTGGATCCCTGGAAAGAAGGCAGCCTGTGAAAAGAGAATCTAACTGCATTAAAAATGTATTTTAAAAAATCTCACTGAGTGGGGGATGGGGGAAAGTTTGACCTTTGTAACTCTGGAAATAAACGGAGCCCCATAAGACTAAAGGTAAAAGGAACTGCCTGTAAGCACTGCACTCTAACTGCTAAAGTTGTTTCCCATAGGCATACAGGTTATGCATTCTGATACTGCTATCCATGTGTACCAGAAGTGAACACTAAGCAAATGTTGGCAGGTAAGGAAGGGGAGGGGGCTAGAATGATCCATGTGTTGATGAATCAGAGTTGGAGGTATCAGGATAAACTTTTATTTAACGTAATACAGATGGCTATAGGTAGAAACATTTATAGATATGGGTACATAATGGGTTAGTATACACATATATATTTCCTTGCTCTGTCAGCTGAGACTGCCTAAAAGAAATGACACACCAGTAGCAATGAGCACACCTAGTGCCCAAATCTTGGTTCTGATATCATTCTTTAATAAAAGGAATCAAGGCTCCCAGGAGAAATGGCTGATTCCAGGACTAGAGCAAGAAATACACAAGATAAGCCTGGAGCGCCTTATAGTGTCAGAAAGTAAAGAAGTGCTTGACTGGGGTATGTCAGCCACGGGGAGTATAGGAGCCAACTGAAAGAGCTTCCCGTGGTTGAAGGTGGAATAATTTCAGCAGCAAAATGAAGTATCGGATCATAACCCATAGTACAAAATAAATATCCATGAGTCTATATTGATATAAATAAATGAATAAATTAATAACGGAGAGGAGATAAATCTCTGCAGAATAATTTCAAATAAATTATGTAGAGGCTCCAACCTAAAGGAATGTAACTCCTCACTCCTTAAGTGCAGGCTGTGCACATTGGCTTCCTTCCAAAGAGTACAGTGTGGAAGGGGAGGAAAATTACACTACAGTAGAGACACCTGACAAGCATCACCTCAGTCAGATGATGAAGGTCAATGCCAATAGTCCTAAGTCACATTTATAGTACATACCCTTGATATGAAGTGATAAAAACGACGTGACCTCTGTGATCTTTCTCCTCCAAATCCATAACCTTAGTCTAATCACGACAAGAACATGAGATAAATTCCGGTAGGGTGGAATTCTATGATATTCCTAATTAGTACTCCTCAAAACTTCCAAGTTCATTAAAAACAAAGGAAGTCTGAGAACCTGTCACAGCCAACAGGAGTCTAAATAGATACGGTAACTAAATAATTAAATATAACATGGTATCCTGGATGGGATCCTGATACAGAAAAAAAAGGATTTTAGGTAAAAACTAAGGAAATCTGAATGAACCATTAAAGTATATCAATTTTGGTTTATTAATTATAACATATGTACATACTAATGTACGGTGCTTACAATAGGGATAATTGTGCAGGGGGTAGGAGGGGTAACAGGGGACCTTTGTACTATCTGCTCAATTCTTTTATGAATTTAAAACTGTTCTAAAAAATAAAGTTTATTAATAATAAAAGAATGAAAAAAGGCAATAATTAAAAAAAAAACCACTCAGGCCAAAACAACTAAAACATTTTATAGTTAAAGTAATCCTTTGTTCTAAAAATTATTTCCAAGATAGAGTCTGGGTGAGAACAAGTCCAAATTCCTGTAAAGAGTATAACAAAACAAAACAAAACACGCCCACTGATTAGAAGGAAAACTATAGGAAATTTACAGTGATTAGGTCACAGGTTTAGAACAGTAATTTCCTCTAATAGGATTTGTCAAAGTGTTCCTGTAGGTACTGATTTAATTCAATTCAATACACATTTATTGAACACCTGCTATATGAATGGTCCTGGGTTTGGCATTGGGTAGTGGATATAAAAGCTGAGGAAGAGGCGCCTGGGTGGCTCAGTTGGTTAAGCGTCTGACTTGATTTCGGCTCAGGTCATGATCCCAGCGCTGTGAGATGGAGCCTCACATCAGGCTCTGTGCTGGGCATGGAGCCTGCTTAAGATTCTCTCATTCTCTCTCTCCCTTTCCTTCTGCCCCTCCCTGCCATGCATTCTCTCTCTCTTTAAAAAAAAAAAAGCTGAGGAAGTCATGGCTCCTGAAACTAAAGAGGTTAGCATCCGGAAGACCATACAAACATGACAGGAATACTCAAATGCAAGGCTGGATGTAAGTGGGAATGCAAAACAGAGGGAGAGGTCATTGCAAGAAAAGGCACAACACTGGACAAGTACAGGCATTTATTTGCAAGAACTGATAGGTCAGTTTGGCTGGAGCATATGTTGAGGCAATCGTGAGCCCCAGGGATGAAGAGGGTCATAGGACACTAGGATACAGCATGACCAGAGCCATGATTCTACAATATTAGTAAGACCAACCTGGAAAAATGGACAGGAGGGCAGAGAGGACCACAGGCAAGGGAGGGGAGCACTGCAACAGCCTGGGAGGGCAACGGGGTCAGAACCATGGCTTTCCAGTGATGACAGCATTTTATAAGACTGTATGCAACTCAAAGGCTATGCTAGCAGGAGATGGTCTTAATGGTTAAGACTGGGCCTCACATGTCCTGTTCTGAAGCAGGCACAGACACTTGAGGGAAGGTGCTGATACAAGAAGATGCTTCTTCAGCTTGCTTGATCTGATGCAAATCAACTTAGGCACTTTTCCTTCCCTTCCTCCTGTTCTAGAAAGCTTTTGTTTTTTTCCTGATTATAAAAATAGTAAATGCTCATCATGAAATTGGGGATCTACATAAAATAAAAACCACTTAGAGTTGTATAATCCAGAGGTAATCACTTTTATGATTTTAGTCTATTTCCCTCCACCCATTATTTTTCTATGCATGAGGCATTGGGAAAGAGTGCAGTTGGTTAGGGAAATAATCTTAGTTATGCACACTCTTATAGGTTCTACCTTATACTATAAATATGAAACCAGCACTATCCATAAAAAAGTTGTTGTTTTGAGCATTAGTATCTACAGCTGTTTGTCTGAATGGCTGGGCTCCATATCTGAGAAGCTCTTTTTGTATACATTTCATGGCAGTGAACTGTGTTGATATATATGTAGCACAGAATGTAAAGGGTTACACTTGTATCCTGCCTTGTCTCTGAGTAGGTCTCCTGTATCATTAAATATTTTAAATGTTCTTTAGTGGATGATCGTTTTAATCTGCCTAAAATTTACCAATTCTTCAAGAGCCATGTCAATTTTTCCCTCCATTATATGCATTCAATGATAGCCCATTCATTATTTCTGGATGATAGTAATAGAACCTCTGAGTTGCTTTACCAGTGTCGAGTCTGTTCTTTTTACAGATCATCTTGCCAAAATAATTTCTCTCAAACATGGCACCGATCATGTCACTTCCCAGCTCAGGGGGCCTTCCATGGTTCCCAATGGCCACGTGATAAAGCATACACTTCTTGGTCTGGTTTCACTGGTCAAGACCACCCCTCTGCCCGCCCCCATACACCCGACATTCCTATCAAAGTCAACCTTCTGTGCCTTCACTTCAATTTCCCCTTGCCTGAGATTCTAATATTGCCCCACATTCCCTCTATCTTGATGACAGTTATTTGTGAATGTGTCTTTCTTCTGGTTTGGGCTATAAACCCTAGGAAGCCAGGACTTGCAATTTCAGTTCAGTGCAATTAAATATAAATCAAAGTCCCTGAAGACCAACTCTATTCCAGACACAATGCAAGGTGTTAAGAGTACAGAGATGAATGAGACACAGTCCTCACCCTCAGGGATCTCAGAGCCCAGAGAGGGAAACAACATGTAATAAATATCCTGATTCGAGCACTACATGAAGCTGCAAGAATACGCTCAACATCCAGGGGCCACACAGTGGAAGGTACAGGCTCTCTCTGTGCAGGCTGGGCTGTAAGCAGGTGATTTCGAAAGGGACAGGAGAGTGCCAGACAGCAGAGAGGAAGTGCAGCATGGCTTATTCCAGCAAATTTTGGAAAGGTGGGTATTTCTGTAGTGAGGGAAGAAATGGATGTGCCCTTGGCAGGAGCAGGGTCAACACTGTCAACAGCCTTGCAAAATATGACAGCGCTTCAAAACCAAATGTGATTGAACATCTCTCCCAAGGCTGTCTTTGGTCACTCTTCCAAATATATATATTAGTCTGAAGTTTCTGCATACCGTCTTGTTTCTCTCCAACTAGAATATATACTTTTAGAAGGCAGAATGCTTGTGTGTGCCCTTGCTGATTGTCTCAAAGCCCTCGGTATGGTGTGGAGCACAGAGTGGAAGTTTTAGCAATATTTTAAATTCATAATCCACCCCTCATCCTGGTAGTTGTAGGCTCAGTGCTTAAAGGGAATTTGAAACATCTGTTAGAAAAATTAACCAAAGCTGAGTCAAGATAAAAACTGAAAGGACCAGCATATTTTGCAGAAATGTTTTGGATTAGTGATTTTGCCTCTAGAACAATTTTATTTGCTGTTAAAAAAGCAATTTAATGCAATTTGTTTCAAATGTCATATTTTAGCATATTTATGGTTGTCAATAACTGTGTAATCAACAGCAGAACAACAAGTATGAATTTTCAGCTATGATAATTGGATTTGCCTCTCAGAATTGCTTGTATATAATGACTGTTAATCAATGCAGTACATTCTCTGCAGACTGGCCAGCCCTCTCTCTCCAATCTTTGCTGGACAGGACAGTAATCTATGACTCTAAATGGCATCTTCTCTATAGGGAGTAAGTGTAGTGTGATGACCAATATTAGTAGCTGAGCCAAAGAAATGGAGGTGAATGAAGAGCAAAGTTGGAATCATCAGTGTCCCACTCTGTCAAATTTATAGCAAACCAGAGCAACAGCATCTTGTGTTTATTTGGGGAAGGAAGCAAGAAATGGATGCGAGTGTGATTGTCCAGATCTGTTTGTTTAAACTGGAGAAGCAATAGGGCAGGGGAATTCTGTCACAGGACCCTGTCCAATGAGAAAAAGAAAAAGTGAGCCTCCCCCTCACAAAACAAAGAAAAGAAAAGAAGTAAAGGCTATAATACAAGTAAATAATAAGGGAAGTGCAGGTAAGCATAAATACAGGTATAAATAGCCAAAAGGAGACTGCAAAGAAATGGACAGAACGTAGGGGGCTGTGTAGGGGGGCAAGTCACAGGTCACAGAGAAAAGGATCACATAAGACAGACAGTGAAGAAGAAGAAAATGATAACAGGGATATATTCAAGTCAAACACTCAGAAGGTTCTCTGCAGGATGATTTGACTCCAGCATCTTTCCCTGGGATGCTAACCCGCACTGTCATGTGCATTTCTCCTGAGGTATGGTGGTGGTGGTGGTGGGGTGGGGGATGGTGGAATATGTCTCCTGTTGTTAATTTTAACTCCTAAATGTCATTGTCCATAATTCCACTCTTGCAATTCTAGGGGGACAGGCAAGTGCCGACAGTCTGGTTGTCAATATCACTTTCCCTGGAGACGACAAGAACCATGAAAGTGTCACCAAAGGGAGAGTCAATCCCACAAGAGTACCTGGATAAAGCCTAGGCAGTAGGAACACTGCTATGTATTCCAAGTGATGGTGTCTGTGGAGAGAGCTAACTATAGGACTATGCTCTAATAAAAAACTCAAATCCCCAAAAGCCAGTTGATCCTGCCAGAGACCCATAAACGATCCTCTATTTAATTCACATTTCTTGTCCTTTCACTTTGGAGACCTCGCCCGCACGAGCCGACATGTGAAAAGCAGCCCTCTTACATGAGTCTGGGTATGTCACTGACGGCCACCGTCCCGTCGTGGGTCTCGCTCTCTCCATCTTCCTCCTCTTCATCACTACTTTCCGACTCCTCACTGGAGGAGGAGTAATCAGTCACCTTCTTCAGCGGGCGGTTTGTTTCTTCGATCCGGAGTTCTCGTAATTCTTTGGCTAATGCCGTCAGGTCCTACAAAAGAAGAGTTCGTTCGGTATGTATGAGTCGTAGAGACGACCAAAGTCACATCTCTCAGCAAGTCAGTGTTCCAGCTTAAGCAACAAGAAAAGAAAGCTCTAGATAGAACTGTTACAAACATAGTGGCGGCATGGAGCGAAGAAAACGATGTTTGTAGCACAGAGAAACTAGGAAAGAAAGATGGAATAAATTTAAACTTTGTTCAAAACCAATGGCTAGACTGAGACGGCTCAGTTCTGAATATACATGTGTATATATGTGTGTGTGCGTTGTGTGTCTACACATATATACAAACGCTGGGTTCTCATTTTATTTGGGGAAGGTGAAGTGGGTCACCCTCAGAGTGAAGGGGGAAACACATGGGCTGAGCGACTGTTCCCCAGGATTCTGGGACTCCTGCTCAAGCCACGGTCATGGCCTTTCCCCTCTTTGATTGCTGCTGTACCAAAATCTAGCATTAGTCACAGAACAGAGCAATTCTCACAGTTCCAGCTACTACAATGACTCATTTGGTATGTCATCATTCCCTGGAAAGCAGAGGCACCACATCAAATAATGGCCCACCCCAAAGCCCAGTGCCACCGAAACTTATAGCCCCAGAGCTGAGTTAATCAAGACGAACGACAAAACCAAAAAAAAAAAAAATTTCTTCCAGAACAATAGGTGTTTCATTTTCCTTTGTTTAAAACTACAGTCACCTGGCAGAAACCCTCGTGAGGAATACTGAAATGAATGCACAAATACCACAAAGGAAGAGATCATTTTTCAGGTTTCCATGAGTATGATGCAGTCTTCAGCCTTATGGATGTGATGATGTGGTATCTAATTACGAGGCACATTGCAGGCAGTGTGCTGGATCTCTGACTACCTTTGACTTCACATGCTTTCAGAGCAATGCAGAGGGCAGCAGTCCTGCAGAAGCATGGCCGCTCTAATTTGCATGGGTTACACTGCCCATGGCGCATGGCATGCAATGAGGAAAAAGCAATTGGACATCAGTCTTACCATTTCTCCCTATATTAGTGACCCATGTGGGAATCAGAGCGTTCAGTGAGAGACAGGGCATTAGGGAGAAAGAAACTCATTGAAAGATACTAAATCCCACCGTTCTCTTATGGCCATATTCTCTCTTTATTTCAATTCAGAAATGTATTTATTTGTCCAATTCACCTGAGGTCAGATTAGAGCAATGTAGGTGATCTAAATGGCATCTCCTAATCTAGCCTACTTGGTTAGAAGAAACACCGTGAAGAGTGGGTAGAGTTAAATTATAAATGTAATTTTGTTTGGGGGAGATCACAAATCATTATTATTTCTTTACCATCCCCTCTATGTCAAGCATTACTATGTTGGTTAAGACTAGGAGAGGAAAACATTTCAGGTGTTTCTTTTGGTCCAGAAATTTAGGAAGTTCAAGGTGGTAAGTGAAGGAGTCATTTCTTCTAATTTCATAATAAAATCAAAGGAAAGCAAGTGTTCAAGTGTTCACTTGAATTGAAGCACTTGAAAAGGGAAGCTTTTGAAAATTCAAGTTGTGCATTTTCCACCCAAACATGCTTGCTGGGCTTTTTACACACATGCACACACGCATGGCCTCAATCTCAGTGGGTATATTAACCCCATCTGTGAAAATGAAAACAGAATTGTATTAAAAAGACTCAAAGGTGTTTAAATATAATATACACTGTTAAAGAAGAAAATTACCACATAGATAGAATTTTATGCAAATTTATTTCTTGTTTCTTTGGCAATAGGCCAAAACAGGAAGAGGCAATATTCAGATTTCAGCTTTATACTCCTTATTTCCTCTGGACATTGCCAATGTTCATCTTTATCAAATTGAGAAGATAGTGAAGGGTATGCAATACTTGAGCACAGTGGGAAATATAGTTTAGATATTTGTTAAAGCTATGAATAGAAAAGGATATTATAATCATCCAAATGAGTAAAATAATAACAGATAAATTTATTTTGTATTTTGTCTTCTATATGTTAGGAGCATGTTAAGTCTCACCAAAGAATGTAAAGCAATTAAAATGTTACTTATCATTAAAAAACGCATTTACTATAATTTAAAGAGAGAATATGGTTTAAAATAATTTATTTCTAATGTCAATAATCCTGAGTAAAATATAATATTAGCTGTGATTTATTTAAATTTATAATACATTTTCCCTTTGGGTTCATTTTCCTTATCTCTGACATTTCAAAACAAGATAAACAAGATTTGAAAAAAATCAAAACTCTTTAGCAATATTTAGGCAGTTCAAAGCCCATTGATTTCAAGAAACTCTCATTCGTGAAAATGACCTAATTTTTTCTAAACACTGTATCTAGGAAAAGTTTAAAGTTCTGACCTGTTTTATAATTTCATTTTTAATTAGAATTTTTTTTTTGTTTCTACATTATTAGAAAGCTATCTTTCTTGAAACACTGAAAGTAATTGCAAATTCCTTTTAAGTTTACTTGGTAACAGCTTGATGAGACATATATGAGACTCCCACGGTAACAAGAATGAGTAACTCAAAGGTAATACCCCAGTCAAGGAAAATTAATGTCCCATTGCCAATGGTCTACATGCTTAGCTGCGGTTTTGTTCCTTATCCACCCACTCTGGAAGAATTTACAGTAGCAAAGTTATAGAAAATAGACACGATCTAAAACTGACACCACTGGGTTCAGATCCACTTTCATACATTTTATTTTCTGACAATACCAATTTTCTCCATATAATGAGTTTTTGTGGTAATTTATTGCTTGGCTGTCTCAAGCCTGGAGCTAAAAAGTATTAAAAAAGAAAAAAAAAGTGCTATTTAGCATGAAAATATTTGAGAAATGTATAGTATAACCGAAAAAGAAATACAGCAAAATGGTAAGATTTTTTTGACTATAGAGTAAATGTGAAGATAGGAGGCTCTTACCCAGAAGCTTCTTTGCTAGAACACTTTTTAGAATTAATTTGATATTTTGTTTCATTTAAAAAAACTCTTATTTAATCTGACAATTATGTATACTTTACCTAAAAAGGTGCTCTTTTAGGTCTCTTTTTAGAACAATGTAGTTTATGTAGATTTTAGTTCAATTTTTTGAGCTATTAAGGTAATAGTTAAAAATCTTTAAGCTGGTCTTTTCTTTATGTATGAAAAGAATTTACTTCCTTTTTAGGAAATCCTAAGAAATAACATTGAGGAAGTTACTTAACTTCAGTATCCTCATCTGAGAAAGAAAGGTTTTAGACTACTAGCTATTGTTCAAGTTCTGTCCAATCTGTGGGTGTGCTCTGGAAATTTTCAGATTCTTACATAGTACAAACAAATAGTGCTACAGCCAGTGTTTGCTTATGTGTCTAATATTCATGTCATATGTTTAATTGTGCTAAAGAGGATATTTATTTTCAATGATTATGTTAATCACAGACTATATTGCACAATCTTATATTCCATTAGAAAGGACTGCCAAATTAATGGACACTCCCTCAGATCGATGTTCATGAAAAATCAAACCATTAGATTAACAATAACAAGCAACACTTTTTTTCAGAGTTTTAAGGCTTTTCATTTCAATCCTGGGTTATCTAAATGGCCAGTTCCTATAGAAGGAAGCCATATCAAAACCTAGGAATGAAGACGGGAGACAGGTTTATTTAATTCAAGGTTTCTCAACTGTGGCACTACTGACATTTGGGGCTAGATCATTCTCTACTATGGGTTGCTCTCCTGTGCTTGGGAGGATGTCTGGCAGAATCTCTCTGCTCTACCCACAAGACACCAGTAGGCACTGCCTCCCACCTCCAAGTTGTGACAACCAAAACTGCCCCCAGACTTTGCCAAATATCTCCTAGGAGGGGTGGGGAGAGGAGAGAAAAGGAGAAGAGGAATCGTCCCTGGTTGAGAACTACTGAGTTAGGTAGAACCAAGTAATCCTGTATTTTTAGTGGTTTAGATCAGTGACATTTAAGGATAGGTAGGGTTATCAGAATCATCTGGAGGGCTTTTTCCAACCACACATGGTTCCAGAGATTTCAGTGTATAGCTAATATCCCCTCAATTACTTATACTTCTGTTGCCCCCTGTCATCTCTGTCCAGTGTATGAGAGTAAAGCAAAACAAATAAAGCAACTTTTTAAAGCCTAAAATATCCTGGGTTAACCAGATGACATCCATTTCCCTCATGACTGCCACCTTCAAGCTAATTTCTGCGCTTATGAGATTTCCCTTGAGTTGCGCACACACACAACCATTTTATTGGCAGCCATGGCACCAGACTATTGTTCTCTTTCTTCAGTGGTTTGGGAGAAAATTGATACAAGTTGTGATAGTTGCTGTCCTTGTGACTATTATGAGGGAAAGGGCCAGGCTTTGGCACAGAGCAATGAAGAGCCGCCTCCGTTTCCTTTCTATAAATGCCGTCCACACACTGTCGACATGTAGAGTCAAATTTTTTTTTTATAAGCTGCAATCCTTTACCTAAGAAATAACGTTCTAAATCACTGTGAATGGTAAGGTGTCCTAATTCTGAAAAACTGAGGCTCTTTGGTAAAGATCAGAGGCATAGAAACCTGCTTCTTCCACCTGCCAAAAGGGCTCCATGTCTCAGGCCCAAAGCTTAGCATGAGGACAACCTCTTGGCTTTACGCTTCATAAAATGCTCTCGCACACATGATTCTGAGTGATCCTAATCAAGCTTGTGATCGAGGCAGAGCAGGTGTCTTTATCCCCATTGTATACATGAAGAAACTGGCCCAGAGAGGTTATGAGACTGGTCCTGGCCAGTTACTTATGGGGGGGCGGGGCTAGAATTTGAATTTGTTGACTCCAAAGCCAGTGCTTTTTCCGTATCATTTCACAAAAATGGTGCTCAGCAGAGCTATAGCCGTAAAGCCTTCAGATTCCATGCAGTTAGGATTCTTGGCAAGGCCTGTCTCTTAAAAACAACAACAACAACAACAACAACAACAACACAAATCTACTATGCTGTGTTCATGCAGGTCTGACAAACAGCAGAAGGCAGTCATCCTTCTTAGCAAGCTACCTAAGATTGACAAAGCCATATATTTTTCTAATGGAAAAATGTCTCCACAGATAAGGAAATAAAGTCACTTAACTCGTCAGGATTCATTAACTAAAGCTGATGTTGCTGCTGATGCTGTAGTTAATGGCCCACAAAATTAATCTAACCCAGGAACTCCTTGTTCACAAATCACACACTATAAATTTGGAGTGTTTTAGAATGATGTCTCTCTTCTTTGTTAGTTAAACTGCCATCCCCTTTGCAAAGCTGGTGAGTACAGGTTAAGAGCTAGGCTTTGCTATTGGAAGATGCTGGGATGAAAAACTTCCCAATAATAAAGCACTAATGCTTATCTTTAGCCAGACTGGAACATTGGAAAAGTGACATTTTTTTTGGCTTAAAAGGAAGGTCTCCGGAGCTTCCCATGAGTGTCTGAGGGCCTTAGGCCGGCTGTGGCTGAAGGAGCTTGCCTTGCAGCAGACCCTTCCAGAGGACTGAACTTTAAATCTGTCATCCAACAGGCCGCCTCTCTGAATGTCAACATCAGGAAATCAGCTTTATATTGACATCTTGTGACAGCATGACCAAGAAAAGGTGATACTAACCTCATCTATCGCTTTCTTATAGCTCTGAGATAGGAGGAACCCAATCCAGAAGAATCCACAGGAGGGGGAAAAGCCAGAAGAAAGGCAGCAGGTTAGACACAAAATGTGAATTGTTAGTACACAACTGATAAATGCAAAAGAGCAGAGAGAACCTTAACCCTGAATGGGGCGAATCCCCTTCAGGAATGCTCTCACTCCGCTTCCTAACTTTAATACGTATGAACCAGAGTAAACCAAAAAGTCCTCACATTTATTTCATAGAAAAGGTTCCCTGCAATTTTAAAGAAAGTAAGTGGATATTCACTCAGCCCAAATTAATTTCCAACTTTCAAATGTCAGCCTCTATGCTCTTATTTCTTTCGCTAAAGCTATTTGGGGTCTGTCATGTCTCAGCAAGGAAGCTAGATTTCAAGTTGTCAGGCCCCTTGTCAAACCATGCTTATCACATTTTGGTCCAGAAAAATATAGTCCTAACATCATGAAGAACAGCAAAAATTACATTAATTCATACGGCAAATGATCTGGGGAGAGGGCAGAGCAGACAACAGAAACCCACAGAAAGTGCCCACATTTCCTTAACTGCAGCTCCACACCTTTTTGCCAAAGCTGCTGAGTAGAAATTACGTAATGATAGGAGTTATTTCTCCCCCTTTTTTATTCTCTAAAGTAGCGTAATGCAAAATGCCTAGAGGCAGATAAGCAATCCAAGATCTGTTCAGTTCTTTCCTAATCAGGTATGACTTCCTTCTGGATGCTTCTAGCATCCATTCTTCTTCTTAATCTCAGCAAGTTCTGTTTCATAGTCATGAGTGTATCCCCAACTACTTGATCCTGTGGCTTCTCTGGTAACTTAAGAGAGTTCAAAAGCACTCACAGCTGGTCGACTAGGTCGGGTAATGTCCCTGGATTCTTCTGGCTTCACTTTGGAAGGCTCGTGGGGGAGCACAGGCGATCCTTCCGACTTACTGTTGGCTAGATAGAAAAACAAGGGCCAAGAAAAATAATGACCATCATAAAGTGTTGACTCAAGTTTTGCAGTTCAGTGGAGAGTCATCCTTCAGGATTACTCAGGGGCTACGACATTCACTTAGGCAAATCCTCAAACACATCTGTGAAAAAACTGTTCATGTTCAAGCAAACGCATTTAGGCTTGTGACCTGGAAGTCACTATTAATCATAAGAAAAACTAGCAAGCACCACTACCACCACCATTTACTGACTGCTAAATGTGCATCACACGTAATGTTAAATGCCTTCTACATCAATGGTCTCATTGGATTCTTGCTCCAATCCAATGTGTGGCACTCTTTTCCCATTTTACAGTTCAATATAGACTTTGAGAGATGGCATATTAGCCTAAGGTCATGCAGAAATTACGGGAAGAGCCGGGTTTCTGTCCGGCTTATCCAAGTCCTATTCTCAGTTATTACACCAAACCAGCTTCCGTGTTAACATTCTATGCTTGGTTTTTCCTTTTACCACTTATCCATCAGGATATTTTATTTTGATGCCATCGAAACCCATTTTATTTGATGGAATGGTTTTTAAACGGGAGGCGGGGGTTGCCGGGGTCTCTTAAGGAAAAAAGAATGAGGTGGGGACAGGAAAGAGAGCGTTGGTGACAAAGGAGAAGAGCCGTAGGACAGAGGTACAGAGCAAGGATGGAGGAGGGCTCCCCAACAGCTCCAGAGTGAAGAGCATCTCTCCGATTTAATTATAGGTAGAGAAAATCAGTCTGGCATAGGAGAGATTCTTTTGTTTTACAGTGGTCTTTCCTGGGCAGAAACACTCCAGGGATACAGCAGTGTTCTTAACCCAGAGGCCCTAGGGGCCAAGGGAAAGAAGATAAGAATTAAACCCAGACCAGATCAGAGAATGAAAATGATATGTGTAACCTTAGTTTTCTTTAGTTTGCTATAAGGATATTAAGTTGCTTATGAATAGAAAAAAAGATAAATCAGTAGCAGTTTTCTAAATTAAGTAAATTTATATTTGGATTAAAGCAACAAAAGGACACATGGCTATGGGCTGGGCCACCGATGTCTGAAGAACGCATATGGGAGCAGCCACATCCCAGTCCAGAGACATGAGCATCGCATGCCAGGTTTCAACCTTTTCAAAATGGACATACAGTGATTTTACTTACTTAAAACCTTAAAAAGATACTAGATGGCCAACTCTGGTTGTGTCTAATGAAGAGGCTAAGAAAAAAAATAAAGTACTGGTTGTTTTTTCTCAGGCAGAGTAAGTTGTTAATATTTGTCAAATTGCACTTAAAAAAGTTCTGGTCTTTCTCACTTGGAAGCAAAATTATCTTCTGAAGAGGTTGTTCAGAAAGAATCACTTTTGTAGCAAGAAACAATGTGTTGTCATGTGTAATTAGCTGGACATGCTCTTGTTTTTCACAAGCTTCTTCATTAATGAGAACTGCACAGTGATGAAAGACTTGAATAAATGGTCAGAGAGGCTCATATTTTTCTAATGGAAAAATGTCTCCACAGATAAGGAAATAAAGTCACTTAACTCGTCAGGATTCATTAACTAAAGTTGATGTTGCTGCTGATGCTGTAGTTAATGTAGTTAATTCCTTGAGTAGGAATAACCCAAAGAGTCACATACACTTTTTAAGTCAAAGAGTTTACTTCTTCTCTAAAGTGCATACGTATTCTACATAAGTCTTCACCGAATTCCACTTTGAGAGATCCCTAGTATTATGGACTATACTCAGAATACCAAAAAAGGATGATTGGCATAATGGGAAGACGATACTTGGGGGTACATGAAGCCTGAAACAGGCAACAAATGGAAATGGCAATTCAGGTGACTCGCAAGTGATTATCTTTTCAAATAAGACCAACGATCTAAGATCTTCCTGGAAAACAATGTCACTGGCAATGAGCAAAGATTTAGTGCAAACTCTGATGTCGCACATGAGACTGGGGCTGGTGGTTCTCTCATCTGAGGAGGACCGAGGCTAAGGGCGGTTAGAGGACTCTGCAGCCTCACATGGTGGTGGCCATGCCAGGCACGGGGGTCACAGAAGCCGGGAAGCGCGATGAGCCCATGCCCACGGCTCTCTGACCCAGGCGGTGCTGTCAGGGCGAGGCAGGGGGAGAGCTCACCTCGAACTCTGGTCCGTTCACTGGACCCCGCTTGTGAGCCAGGCTGAGAGCCTCCTTGGGAGCTGGGCTGGGAGCTCGGGGTGCTGGAGCTGGAGGAACTACCACTGCTGGTCCTCTGCAAGGGGCTCTCCAAGACGGGCTCAGTTCTCCGGAGGTCGGGGTTGCTGTACGGAAGGCAGAGCACGGTGACCACACGCTCCAGACCGCGCCATTCACAGACACAAGCACAGTCCAGTCCCACCCCGGGTACGAAGGAGCAACCAGAGCCCTTGTGTCACCCCGCACGGAAAGGGTCAACGGGAATGACAGTAATGTTGTCCTCTGTGGAGCTCCCAGCCTGATACTGCTGATGGGATGGACTCCTGACCCAACTCCTGGGGCATCACGCTGAAGTATTAGCTCTGAAATGGTACTCTTCAAAGGAGGCTTTCTCTTAAACCCTTATTCCCCTGTTCATTGTAAAAAAACAAACAAACAAACAAACAAAAAAACAAAAAACCTTGAAAAATATTAAAAGAAAAAAAAAGAAAGCAAAACATGCAAATCTCTGACCCAAGAGAAATCCAACTATATTTTACTATTTGGTATAGTATCTTCTAGGCTTTTTTCTTTTGTATATATGGAAGCATGCTCTATGTTCAGTTTCGCAGCTTGCTTTTTCCCCTAACACCGCATTGTGAGCAGCTTCTTATGCTTACAAAAACAACAGTGGCTGCTTAGCAGTCAGTCCATGGATGAATTAGTTTAACCGTTCCTCTACGGCTGGATATGAAGGTACTTCCAATACACTGGCCTGACACATAACACTGAAATAAGTATCTCCCAGGCAGACAAACACCCAATCATATCTCCTTCCTGGACCTGGAATTCCTGGGTGGAAGGACATGAACTGGGAAGTGTGTGTTGCATATGCTTGTATGTGAGTGTGTAATGGTATTACCAGTTTTCGCTGAAGTGTATGAAATGGTCCATCTTACTGAATTCTTAACCATGCTTTATTATGAGCAGTTTGCTGATTTGTAAAAAAAAAATTATCTTGTTTTAATGCTGTTTTAAAACATTACTATTGAGGGAGAATAATTTTTATTCACTTTTATTTACCATTTATAATTCTTCTTCTGTGAATTGCTTAATCAAATTCTTTGCTTATGTGGTTAGTGGCATAATTGCACTTTTAAAATTTCTTTCAGGAAGGCTTTATATACTTTGGCTCTTATCCAAGGGAGGTGTGTTTTGAAAGAGTTATTATTAAGCGCTAGTTCAAGAACAAATGCTAGTAGTCCCCACTTGTGATAAGACCTTACGGCGTTATTCACTTTCACAGCTTAACTGCCCCCCAAGTGGTGGTATTCATTTGCTCACTCACTTGGTCAGACCAAGCACGGGGTCAGGCATTTGAGAGACGGTGATGAACAAGACACAGTCCTATCTCCGCCAGCGTAGCCAGGCACGCACAGCCAATTCCATCCCCGCTCTGCCTGCCGGGAGCACGGGACAGTATGGCAGTGTGGAACAGGGCCATCTGGGCCCCTTTTGGTGACCATGGAAGCTGTACTAGGACAGTGGTGGGAAACCATGACTGAGGTTTTGATGATTTTGCTATAAATATAAGCAGACTCCTCAAAGTTTCCAGAAAGCTCTTCCTTTTTAATTTATAACTCCTAGGCCTTTTCATTTTTCCTTCAGACTTACACAATGCTGGGCCTAAATGGATAATTTAGCGAGGCCTGAAACTCAGAGCTCAAATCTACTGCCAGCCACCTGCCCCACGGACCCCTACGTGTTTCCCATGCCTTTGGTTCTCCAAATAGAACTGCACACCTTTGCTAACAGCGTCACCATAGTATGATTGGAGACTATGATTTTAATGCAGGAACTCATGTTAAAATGTAATTTTATGTTTTCATCTTGCTCTGCTCATTTCAAGAATGTCAAGTGCACTCTGAACTGTGTTGGGTCTCCCGTGTTTCATGTATAAAAATGAAAATAATATGACCTCTTCCCTTGAGACATTTGCATTTTAGTGTACCAAAAATCTGGCCACAGAATAGCCATAATTAGAGCAGCAACTAGACCAAATAATTTCTTTTCAAGAACACAAGAATCTTGCTTTTTGGTGAGGTATCTGCCAAGAACAGTTGATCGAGTTACAAACAATTTTAAACATTGGGTTATTGGAAGACGCGGCTGGTGGCCCTGGAAAACATCCGTAAAAATAAATATGTCCCCATAGCTTATTAATTTTGATCGCATAAATGTAAAATTTTTTGACAATATTTATCTTTTAAGTTCTTATGGTGAAGGAGCTGCTAAGTCAATCCAGCAGTGTGATCGACTGCAGCAGAAGTGATTATCAAGCTTAAGGAAAATGTTTAAAATTCTCAATATTTTTACAGAACTCCTTTGCGTAGTAATTATTTTTGTGAAAACTGCTAGCATTTAATCAGTTTAAATAGATTTGAATCCATACTGGAAACAGCCCTGATTTGGAGAATACCTAAAATGATTAAATATGTAATACTTGTGCAATATCCTACCTTTCGAATTCTCCTTAAAGAAACAATCTTATCTCCTTTTATTCCCCAGTAATAAATTCTTTCCCATGGTCCTCTTTTATTAACAGTGGTGGTCAGCAATTATTTCTATGTAATTAATAAAGTCCCAAAATATTTTTTCTAAGAATTCTATTGCTAACCAACTGTATTGCAGATTGAAGGTGAGGGGCATGCTAAGGCTTCTTGGTAGTTGCTTTTGTTTTGTAGGATGGTAATGTAGTGTTCTTTGTATTAAAAAAAATAAAAACAGCTATGAAGAGAAGGGTGGCTGTGACCTCTGAGATTTCTTTTCTCTGGTGGCTGTGGCGTGCTAGCGAGATCCAGCTCTTTGCTTGAACAGAGCACTCGTTTGATCATTTAACCAACACCTTTCTCTGAAACACCTACTTTGTGAGCCTCATTGGACCAGCATGAGGGATGGAGGCGAGCACAGGTCACAGGTGCAAGGTGCGAGATAATTCTAGGGATGGGAAACGTGCAGTGGAGATTACAGTGGATATGGCAAATCTCTGTATGCTGTGTGTGAAAGAACCTGTAGGTATTGTTGGCATTTGGGGAACAATGAACGTGGCCCGGTGTGGTCGAGGTGGTGTCAAGATGGAGACAGGACTTGACTGTGCCTTGGAGGTGGGGAGAAGGAAGTCTGGGGGAAGCACCTGAGCAAGGACACAGGGGCTGGGGTTTTACCCGGGGCTCGCTGGTGTAGGGAGGACACCATCCTGATGGAGTACCACGTCCGTGTCAGGTTTCCCCAAAAGAGAGGCTCATCAGAAGGGATGGCTTAGGCCGCAGTGCCTGTAAGACCCAGAAGAGCACACAGACCTCCCAGGGCAGGCTTACAGATGACCGGCCAGGAGAGAGGTGGGCTGGCCAGGTGGGTGGGAGGCTGCTGCCATCCTGATGCTAAGGCCTGGGTCAAGGAAGGGCACAGGGATTGGCAGAACCAGCTGGGATGTGCATGCGTCTCCCATGGGACTCCGAGCCTCGTTCGGTGTGCAATTAATTGGATCCCACGGGCATTAAATCCCTGACCTGGGCCTCATTAGCACGGGCCCTCCTCACTGGAGCTCACCAGCACAGCTGCTGATCTTAATAGGATGCTATTTTTGCTGCTGGAGACTGAAAGAACTATTTCCTTTCTATATAACCACACATAGAAATCGGGAAAACTTTAAAATGCTTTTTCTACCTTATTGTAATTTTTTTGAAAAATATTAAGTATTTTGAGAAAATGTCATACCATTCATATTTTTCTTTTCCTTATTATGTAGTAATATGGTCTGGCCTTGGGGCCAAGGGGTCTGAGATAAATGCTTTGAGAGGGAATTTCAGAAGAATTCTATGAAATAACAGATTTCCTTTGGTCACATATTAACTGCAACTACTAAGATCCAAATGTGTAAAAACTTGAAAACATTCATAAATATTCCTTTAAATGCTAACTTTTAGTTCAGATATTTGCCGTCCCACAGACAACGCTGATTGGTCTATAAAACACACAGTAAACTGAAAATGTGGCAATTATTCCATTTACTCGAATCGTATAAAAAGTCAAAACAGAAAATTAGGATTACAAAGTGATTTCTTAGCCCAAATACTTGGGCCAAGTCTATAATTAACTGGCTGACTGCCAAAATTCACTTTACTTTATTCTTTGGTGACACAACCAATGAGAACAAATGAGCCATAGGAAGATAGGTTTGGGACGGGACAGAGAATTATTTTTTGAAATTAAGCATTTAGTCATTGGGTTTTGACTGGGTGTTTCTGGCTTAATTTAAATCTTTTCATGTTCTGAATATACTTGTTTGACCAAATTTTAATTTGCTTTAAAGGAACAAATTCAAGTTAAATATTAAAGTACCTGGAATTTTTTAAAAACAGTATTTTAAAAAAATGAACAAATCAAATCTTGATTTAGACTCAAATGATCACCTTGACAACATAAGGCAGCTGGGAGCCCAGAGAGCAGGTAAGAACCGCACACCAATGTGCACGTACATGAGAAGGAAGGGCGGAACAGGTGCAGGGGGTCATGGGGATTGCATTATCATGCAGACTGCAGCCACGTAGGATGGGAACTGTCAAATGCACATAGTGACCTGAGTACCAGCTTGAGTAGGAAACATCTGGGGGGTATAAATAGGTCCCACGAGACGATAACTTTTGAAAGGTAGTCAATATCACAAGATGAGAATCGATAACCATAGGATTAAGAGGAGCTACTAACATAGTCGCCAAATTGCGTGGTGGGAATGATGGAGGCAACATGGTGCCTTGTCAGTCAACAAATCAAGAGTCCCCTTTCCCTTGGGAACACGAGGCAGCAATGTTGGCTGCATTCACTGCTGAACAGGTAAGCACGGCATGGTACTGAAGAGTGTGGACTTGGGTGCAATGCTACTAGGTTCAAACGGTGGCTCTATCACTTAGTAATCTTGTCACCTTAGGGGCCATTTACTTCACTTGTGTTCGTCTCTGTCTCCCTTCTATAAAATGGAGGTGATTACAGCCACTACCTCACAGAGTTGGTATATGGTTTACATGAGTTACCATTTGAGATGCATGTTGAACATTGCCCCCCATTGTAATAAAGATGTCCAGAAGTGTTTATTAAATAAATAAATAAATGACAAATTGCCCCAAACCAAGCAGAAGACAGGGATGCACGGGCGTCACCCAGTAACACTTTCTTGACCAACGAATACCAGCACAGCTGTAGACAGGGGAAGAGTGACATAATTGGAAGTCTTTTCTGGGACAAGGAAGGCTTGTGAAAATAGTAAAGCTCTGCTTTTTTCCTCGCCTTACAGGTACGTGCTTGCATACTCCCATTTTAACTCACCTCCAGAATCTTCCATGCAGGGTGCCAGGTAGTTTGCTGATTTAAACATACCATTTCCTACATTCTCAGAAATTATCACACGTTCTGTAGTCACTGGAGAATATACAACGTCTGGCATCTAGGACCTGGAGTTCATTAGCACTTGAATTCAGGAGGCAAAAACTGAGCTTTTTAACCATTAGGCCTGCTTTCTATTCTTCCTTTTTCCTACTGGCTTAGCACAAAAGTGGTTTATTTCTCACTCATATCATGATATACACCGATAGAACTACTCTCCTTGGTGGTTTTTCTGCAAAGTGGGGCCTTGGGGACCCAGGTTCCTTCCATATTCAGACACTATTGCCTTAAACTTGTGGTCCCTAAGTTTGCCACAGAAGAAGAGAGAGCTTCTGCCTTTTTTGCTTTCTTTAGATAAGTCAATTCACATATTTACCCCAAAGCAAAATTAGGAAGTAACAGAATTTTGCCCCTAATAATGCCTGTAGCCCCAAGAGTAGCAGGTATGGTATATCCTCTGACCCGTGGGCCCTAGACTCAGGTGGTCTTGGTTGAGTCACTGGTTCTCAAGGTCCCACGTGGCCCTTCACACAACAGGTCCTCAATATACATTTGCTGAATTTAGCAAATGAAAAATAGTAATAACAAAACATCCTGGATTTTTCCCTTATTACATGGGTGATTTTTCTTGGGATCCATTTTTACTTTGTCAATTTCCCACTCTACCTTGAGGATCATTTCAAGGAAAAGGGCTGGGAGGATAAAAAGGAATATTGACCAACTATAAGAAATATAGCTTATAAACAGTGTAAAGGATTTCATTATTTAAAAACAATCCCCTTTTATGGCTTTATGGATGGACAACTGCCTGAAAGATGGTACCAAAAGAACTATGAGAACTTCATTAAGACCAGTATAAAACAGGAGAGTCTGCTTTATCGTAATGCCCCCAGCCAATCAAATCTCCCGTTGTCTATGGCCCTGTGTTTTTCCTTTACACATTGACTTAGGACTTGGCCATGTGACTGTGGTTGCCAGTGGGGCATCAGCAAAGATGGTGCAAGCAAGGGCTTGAAAAGTGCTTGCGCACTGGGGCTTTCCCTGCGGGGAGGCTGTCCTGAGAACAGTAAACAGCAAAGTGCACATGAAGGTACAGCTGACACATCAGCTCAGTGCAGCTCCATAAGTAAGCCCAAGTGAGACCAGCAGAAAAACTTACTAGCCAACCCACAGAACTGTAAGAAATACTAAATTGTTACTATTTCGGACCACTGAGTTTTAGGGTGTTTTATTATGAAGCAACGGTGACCTAAAGCTATCTCTATCACAGTAAATAAACCAAATCCTGAAGCTTTAAAAAATGCAATCCAATCTAGAGTTGCAAAATCTGATTCACATTTGAAGTGTTGGTCACTCGGAGATAGGTGATTGCAAGAAGCAGAGTATTCGGGGGCGCCTGGGTGGCTCAGTGGGTTTAAGTGTCTGCCTTCGGCTCAGGTCATGACCCTGGAGTCCCGGGATCGAGCCCCACATTGGGCTCCCTGCTCAGCGGGGAGTCTGCTTCTCCCTCTCCCTCTGAGCTCTTCCTCTCTTTCTCTCTCAAATAAATAAATATATAAATAAAATCTTTAAAAAAACAAAGCAGCGGAGTGTTTGGTAAGATTACTGCACATGGCAGAGATGTGGATTTTCCATCCCCCCCCCCACAATCCCTCTGACTTTCATTGTAGGTAAATAATTATTACCTCTTGGCTCCCTCCCTCTGTGCCTCCTCTGTAAGCAGAAAAATGTTAGCTGTCTCACAAAGTCTGCATTCTTTGGACAAAGTACAAATTTAAGTGGTCCTGAGGGAAAAACTCATGTTTGACAAGCCACTGACCATCAAAAGCCAACTATCTTGAGCCTAATGTCATTAAAATAACAGTTCAGCGGGAACAAAGAGCTACTTTTTATTTGATTATATAATGATAGTGCTCTTTCTTTTTGGCTGATAGAAGGAGAAAAGACTTCCGGTCGAAATGACACTTGATTTACAGCCGCTAAAATTCTAAGCAACTGATTCAATGAACAGAGCCTTGAGGGCAGGGTCCAAAGGATTAAGAAGCACTGATAATTGGGGGCTTATTGCTGCTCGAACGAAGAGGGGGACTGACAGAGTTAACACCGGCAATCCCAGGGCTGCTGTTCCTTTGGCTCCTGGTCACAGAACCCTCTGGTCTTCCTCAGCGCTGCTTAGCAACACCAGCTCAGGGTGAAGCTGACAAGTCGCTGGGAAAAAATGGCTCATTCGGAGCTTCCTGCAATTGGCAATCCCGCTCAGTATGGGCTAAGTTCTTTGCCCTAAAGGGATTAATGTGCTTAGTACAGTTCCATCTTATTTATGGACTGACCTCTTCCTAAAGCTCTTCACGTGAAGAGGAAAATTAGGGCATCACGATCAAAAGCATTCCATATATTAAAGATAGGTACAAATCATCCTAACTTTGCTTCCGGTCTCTCCTTACTAGCAAGGGAGAGTCCTCTTATGAACACAGTGAAGAAGACTATAACAGCCTGCCCAAGCTCATCCTTTTTATAGTCTCAGCAGAGACCATTTGCTATTTCAGTTGATCCTAAAAAGCAGTGTATTCATCATGAAAAATCTGAGGGAAGCTCAACAAACGAGAGCAGCAAACAGCATCTGTTACCACATAAAATCAGCTCGGATACAGTAAAGATATTGTTTACTTTCCAGATCCTCTTGAGACCTCTACACCAACTGGTAGGTGGATGTGGTTTCCTAACTGTAGGAATATCCATTGTTGATGGAAAATTCTAGGAGAGCACAGAGCAGCAGTGGAGGCGTAATTTTATCTCAGTGACCCTCCATAATGCCAGAGAGGTGATTTCTTGCTAAGAAATAGTCTTTTTGTAATTTGCCAAGCTAGGAAGCTCTGCAGCTGGCCACTAATGCATTTCTTTGGCAATGACTTTGTAATGTCTTTTTTTTTTTTTTTTAAGTAGGCTCCACACCCAGTGTGGAGCCCAACACGAGGCTTGAACTTGTGACCCTGAGATCAAGACCTGATTTGAGATCAAGAGTCAGACGCCCAACCCACTGAACCCACCCAGGCGCCCCTGTCTTTGTAATGTCTTTCTGGCTGCCAGGGCACATTTCTTGACTGGATGCCGAAAATCACCTCAAACTAGGCCATCTTATGTTAACTTAACAAAATGATCTCCGAACTACTGGCTTGGGCCATTCCAACCAGACTTCTATTTGCAATTTTACCCCCCAATTTTAAAAACTGTCAAGTGAGGTATACCTGGCTTCTGGGCTGTCTCATTTCTTCAACCCCCCTTACTCATTCATTCATGAGCTGCCACTGCACACTGACCTCTTGAAAGGCTACTGAAGAAATAAAAAGTATATGTTCTGGCCTCCCCAAAGCTTACAGTCCAAGTGGCTAGTCAACATGCCTCTGAAGTGAAAAAAAAGGACAAATACATTTTTTAGGAAAGCAATAATGACAATGACAGGTGGGGGCTTCTTCCTTCATCTTGATCGTCTTCCTTGCCTTACCTTGCTCTGATGGGTTGAGATCCTAGCCTGGGTCCCAGAGCACTACCATTTCCAGGAGAATTCTTTCTGGCTAACGCTGGGGATATAGAAGTTGTTCTTTGAGGCACCTGAAAGAAAAACCAGAAATCAGAAATATTTTCCATAAAATAGCTCCCCTAGGCTCCTTCCTGAAAAGAGGCTATTCTTTTCCTAAAATTTACCAGGAGTTACAGAAACTACCAGAAACGGGAAAGATACGGTGTTCATTTTTCAAAGAAATCTTTAACTCCCGAAACAAAAATCACACAAAAGGCGTGTGATTCACATTCAGCGATCATGAAGGAGAATGGTCTTCAATTTTAAAAACAAATTAAAAAACAGACCAAGCTAATTATTTTGATTCACCGGGCTAAAATAGTTGCCCTCCTTTGCTTGTGTAAGAGTGGTGGATACCAGAAATTTCTTTGGGGTACCATTAACTTAGTTGATCATTGGAAATTGCATCAGATGAGAGTCATCCAGATAAGCTGAGCTCCACCCCAACTGATAAACAGATAAGGAAATGATGAAATCTGGTGAGAAACGAGGGTATCAGGCTAGAACTTGGGACATAAGCCACATGCCCGGGCACTCAGAGAAACTACTTCAGTGGACCCTAAGTGTTCCCACTTCCTAATCAACTTGTAGTCATTAATTAGAAACAACCCCCCCAAACATGGTGCTTTGGAAGGTCAATTTGCAAATGTAACACAAAACAGGATTAATATTGAAGATACCGGCAGGGTCTTCAAAGAGGCTATGTGCACACTATCAGGCACACAGTGGGAAAATATATCATGGTTAGCTTATCTGACAAGAGCCTAAGGTGGAACTCAAGCATGCCTCACTTTATTAAACATTTTTAGTGAAATTAAATAATGGAAGTGGGTCCCCCTAAAGGGGTCCAACATGAGGGAAGAGAATGATATTTACTTTATAAAAGTGACCAGGAAATGGAAATGTGGATATCTCGTGGAAACTGGTTGGGTTAAACATTGGTCAGGTGCTTCAATTTTCATTCATTTCTTGGGGCTCTTTTAAAGTGGGCTTGTATTTTGTACTAGATATTTAAAAAATGTGCTTGGCTGTAATATTATTGTTGAATATGTTAAGTGATACTTAACATTCATATAAATTTTACTGGTTATCGTAATACATTTTAAGATAAAGACCTAGAAAGATGAGTCCAGTGAAGAGAAGCAGAATGGCCAAATCAGGGTTCCCACCTGCTCAAATTAAATATTCCTTTTCTCCTTTTTCATTTTGTAAACTTAAATAGTTGTAGAGAAGAGTTTAACAAATTATTAAAACCTAAAACCTTTGCACAGATGTCAAATTTTCTCCCGGAGTTAGGAATGTATGCCTGCATGTTTTCAGAGAGTGGACCAATAGCGTCCATTTTCAGTTTTCCCAGCTCTCATGCCACTCCCCTGACTGTCCTATCTTCGGCATTGAACTTTGCTCCCTAACAAACCTTTTCTGATGGCATCCTTGCTTCCACAAAAGGAGAGCACCAACAAAAAAAGTCGTAATCAGCTATATTCATTTCCAAAATCATGGAAAGCCTGCTATAATATCCTCTTGAGTGGAAGAGGAGGAAAAATATTTGAAAATCACTGGGTAAAAAGTATTCTTTTCTCCCTGGAGTCAACAATGGCATTGATCTCTGGGAAGTGTGGGGCATTGCTCGTAAAACAAGAATTGCTCTGGCTATCTTACATCTTATGAACTCACTACTCTACGCTAAGTTTAAGAGAAAGGGGAATCTTGAACCAGGAAGAATCCAATGCAAAAATTTCTCCAGTATTTTGAAATACTTCCAGGATGTCTGTAGTAAGATGCATGGCCACATTTCACGACAACTTTTGGAATGAGTAACAATGGGTATAGGTAAAAAACAAACAAACAAACAAACAAAAGAAACCAACTCCAGGATTACTCTGTCCAGTGGATGGCTAGTCATTTCACCCTACAGTTTTATGCTCAGGAGTCAAATTATGACCTGGGCTAGAAGGAGCTTTCCTTAAACAGAGCCAATTTTAAGAGCAGTACTAGCTTCTGAACACCTGCAATCCAGTTTCACTTTGTGTTATTAAAAGTAGGAATAAATCAATTTTCTACTTTTTATCTGGAAGTTTTCACTTTGTCTAGATGTAGTTTCAGTCGCTGATGAAAATATCCATTATTCCATTTCTCTCTCTTTTTTTTAAATATTTTATTTATTCATTTGAGAGACAGAGAGACAGAGAGAGCACAAGCAAGGGAGAGGCAGAGTGAGAGGGAGAAGCAGACTCCCTACTGAGCTGGGAGCCCAACATGGGGCTCCATCCCAGGACCTGGAGATTGAGACCTGAACCAAAGGCAGACTCTTAAACATCTGAGCCACCCAGGGGCCCCCCTCTTTTTTTTTTTTTGTTTGTTTGTTTGTTTAAGCAACCTATATACCCAATGTGGGGCTTGAACTCATGACCCTGAGATCAAGAGTCACATGCTCTACCGAGTGAACCAGCCAGGCACCCCCATTATTCTGTTTCTTAAAAAGTCTGGAATGCTTGAGGTTGAGAGTTCTAATTCTGGATACAGGATAGATGTTTCCAAGTCATTCAATCTACCTGAGCCTCCATTTGTTGGGAAAAGGAAGGTCAGAAGTGATCGATGACAATCCAAGTCTTAGCTTGGGAACAAGGAAGAAAACAAACATGAGAAGGGGTGGTGCTTTGGCATTCTCATGTTCCTCATTACTATAAAAGGTCTGGAATAGAGAGAATAATAATAATAAACAACGATGATGATGAGAGTGACGATGATAAAAGCATGCCAGCCTATTACCTTTGGTGGAATGTCTTCTTCCTGTCGTAACCAAGAGCTTCGGTCAAACTTCTCGATGCGAGTGGGGAGAGGAGGGTTTTCGGAAGTGGGATCCGAGTTCTGGCGTGGCATCTCAACGCGGTGAGAGGTCACGTTCAGAGCCTCCTGGAACCCAGAGAGGCCCTTGGTGGGCTGCTCGTGCACTGACTGGGAGGCAGTCAAGGCAGGTCCCTGGGATTTTACAGCTACCAGATGTGGAATCTAAACAACAAACCAACATTACAGCAACATTATTAGAAGAAAAAGCAGATCAGCCAGTACCTCATTCAGTGGGAGGGAAAATACCATTTTAGAGCAGAAGATAAGAACTAGAGGACACGGAGCCCATCATGGCTGTCTCCAGCATGCCCTCAGAAGAAGCTCTTCCAAATTTCCCACTTAACAGCCATGTGTAGGGCTGACCCAGGGCACCTGGCCAAAATTAACTGATTCACTTGGGACTGCTAAGAAGTCAATGAAATAGGTGTGATGATAATAATAGCAATTTGTAGGGGACATTTACTGCTCAGCAGTATCATATATTTACAAGTACTTTTCTTCTAATATTATCAGCTTCCTCCTTCAAATCCCTTAACTTCGACTTTAGAGAGTGCCATTGCTCGTAAAACAAGAATTGCTCTGGCTATCTTACTTCTTATGAACTCACTACATCCACCATGAGGGGGATACAATCATTTTCATTCTTTTCCACGAGAGATTGGAAGGTCTAGAGAGGGTTACAACCTGGATCACAGGGCTAATATGTGCGGGAGCCCGGATTGGAACCATTGCTCACCTCCTGGTCCATACACCTAACTCTATGCTCTTCTGTTTTCTGGTGAGCTGGCTCTTACCACCCATGATCTTATCTACCTTTCCACACCAGGATGGTTCTTCTAGAGGTGTAAGCCCCATAATTTGGCATGTGTTGATATTGTTCATGCAGGGAAGACATGCTGTCTTTGCGTAGAAATGTGGCTCTTGAAGACAGATCACTAAATCAAGAGTTCAGAGTGCTCTTGACCATTAACACTGCTCATGCTTTATTGTTACCGTCTCCTCCTCCATCACGAAGGTAAACTCCCTGGAGATGGAAGCCATGTCTGGCATGGGATCTCTCAGTCTACACTCTGCCTGGCCTGTGGAATGTGGTCAGTAAATCTTGGCTGGGGAAACATCTAGAGTACTTTCTAAATTAAATTGTTAAGTCAATAAACACTAATCTAATATCTGCTTTGTGCAAGGGACCTATCACACCCTCTTTGGTCTGAAATCTCAATGCCAGACCACCGGGGAGCATTTCTCCGGCCCTCTTCCGCCAGCCTGGCCCTGTTCCTTCTGCCCTTGAGGTCTCATCCCTGGAGCAGCCCTGCCCTCGCTTCTTCAGACCCTCTTTGGTCTGAAATCTGAAATGTGATTAATTAGAGTTCAGAGAAAATCCTCAAGGTCTAGTTCAGGTGAATGTTATGCTTCAACCAGGAAAGAACTGTAGCCAATCACATTTTTATTGATGTTAATTACCATGAATATAATAATAATATTAAAATAAAGCATATTTTAAAAATATAGCACAACACACAAACCTATTTTAAAAGAGTTTCCAAAGACATTTGGGTGAAACCAGTTGTACCATTACCTTTACTTTTCATAAAATTCTATACTTTATTTCACTTCATATTTCACTTTCAGTGTTTACAATTTCAGAAGTCCTCTAAAACCTCCAGAAACTTGTCCTGGAGTGGAGTAACATTTTTCTTTTCTATATAGCGTACAGCAGTGGCTCTCAAGTCCTAGAGTGCATCAGGGGTACCTGGAGGCCTTGCTAAACCGCAGACTGCCGGACACCCGCAGAGGTGCTGATCAGAGGTCTGAGGTGGACCAGAGAAACTGCATTTCTACCAAGTTCCCAGGTGCCACTGATGCTAATGATCCAGTGACCACCCTCTGGAAACCACTGGCTCAGGAGACACTATTTTATCCAAGGTCATTTTATTTTTCTTGTTAAAGATCATGCCCAAATCCCAATGAACAAAAGATAACATAATAGTTTATACATGACAGGTATCTATATGAATATTAGCTTGACAATTGTAACTAAAAGGATGCTTGTTGTTATTTTGCAGACACTCCCATGGGTCTCCGGAGAGGCCAATTTATCAAGAAGTGAGCGTGCAAGCTGGCTCAAAGTTAAGGAGGGTGCTTTTTTTCTTTCTCACCCCTTCCCCTCACTCTTCAAATCCAGTGGGCTCTCCTCCATTACTACAGATTCTGTATTAAGGGTCATTGTTGGACCGGCCCTACGTAAAAATCCAAGTGACAATCCCCTGTTCTTTTAGTAAGCTTAACTGTACAGCCTATTGAAATGGCTGATGGAACAAAGGGGAGAATGTACCTGGGGATCAACTGGTCTGAGCATGGGGGGTGTCCGAGCAGGCTGAACTCCACTGATACTGAAGGACTCCGACCTCGGGGGCAGGTTGGGGTCAGATATTCTGTTGGCAACCTTGTGAGGCATGGCCGGCGAACTCTGCCGGTTGAGCCTTGACCGCTCTTCTACCTAGAAGCCAAAAAAAGAAAGAAAGGTGCTTCAGTGGATAGATGGATAGAAGCTGATTTACTGCCTCCTAAGGATTATCTGTAGTCACCTGCACAGCCATTTTTGTGTCCCTCTGATCAATTCAGTTTAAGGGGCCCAGACTCTCCGTACCTGCTGTGCATCGAGAACTCTTGAAAAAGCTCTTTTCTGTCGGAGTAAACACTAGCTCAAAAAACGCAGAATGCATTTTTCCTATCACCCTTCTGATTCCCAGATTCTTGTGCTATTTCAGTTCGCTGGGAATTTGGGACCTGCTTAAGAGTTTATCTTGCACTGACTGGATATCATCTTGCCGATCGGTCACAAAGCCATTGAGTCAGTGAGGGAGATGAGGGAATGGAGTGGGCATCGAGACTGCTCAGGAGGAAAGCAGAAAACGGCTGGGAGCTGACTCGGGGTGCAGGGGAGGGAGTTTCCTCCCTACTGATAGACAAGCAGCTGTTTCGGGCGCTTCCTTAATGAGCTGGCCTGCCTTCAGACGTCCTCTACTGTTTTTTTCCCCTCCTTGGGACCCTTTCTTTTCACTTGTCTCCCTGCTCCCTAAAATACATCTTTCCATGTCCAGCCTGGACTCCACTGCCTCACTCTCCCCACCTTCTCTCTCTTTGTCCCTGCGTGGCATTTCTTCTTGCTCCTTCCCCTCTTCTCTCCCCACCTCCAACCCTCTCTCTTCTTCACTGCCTTTGTCATCCCCTTTCTTGCTGAGTCTGTCTCAGCGCAAAGCAGGTGACTGATCAGAAGGGTCCCACAGCAAAGGCTCACGGTCCCAGGGAATGCCCTTTTTATGGGGAAGATTCCCCTCAGTTCATGTCTGCAGCAGACAGAAGGTCACAAAAGCTATTTCCAAATGGAAATTTCAGTGAACCAGGTGTACACTGCAAGGCATGACTTAAGACCTTTGACAACCTCAGGGGTCTAGGACTTCTCTTTCACATCCATCCCGGCCTGTCCTTAATTTCTTTCAGGTCAGTTTGGCAGCTGCATTTGCCAACCCGCTGGGCAGCCCACCCACCTGATGCCTCTTCAGTGTGAGCCTGAACTCCCTTTGCTGACTCACTGATGAGGGTTCCAAGGGCCTGTCCTGGAAGCCACATGCAACTCAAGACATACCTGTATGGAACTCTTTATTCATTTCACTGCCTGATTTGAAATAAAAATTCAAAAGAGCTATTCTTTCCCATCCTTCCTATTTCATTTTGAGTCTTTCTAGGAGCAGACTCAGGGGCGCCTGGGTGGCTCAGTCGGTTAAGCGTCTGCCCTCGGCTCAGGTCATGATCCCAAGGGTCCTGGGACCGAGCCCCACATCAGGCTCCCCGCTTGGCTGGGAGTCTGCTTCTCCCTCTGCCTCTCCCCTTGGCTTGTGCTCTCTCTCTCTCTCAAATAAATAAACTCCTTTTTTTTAAAAAAAGAAAGATTAGAGGCAGACTCAGTCTCATATACAGAATAAGTCTGTTTTTTAAGCCCTCATACTAACTACAAACATTCTAACATAATAAGGTATGCTGCAGAATAGAAGACCGTCCCCCCACTTCTACTCAGGGGTAACTCAACATCTCTTCTCCCACCGTGGCTGTGCAGGGTACATACAATTGGCATCCCAGTTGACTTTGCTTTTGAGACTCCAGGTCCCAGAAGCTTACCACACACCAAACAAGGTTAGCTACCAAAAGCCAGATCTATAAACCAAAACATGTATACTTTGTGTATGCGTGTGGGCAAAGTATTACATCAGCAGGAATTATTTGGCTGTTGCCCTGAGCAAAAGAAAAGAATAAAGCCAGTTTTGAGCTGAGACCAGAAAGAAGAGAAAGTCCCACAAAGACAGTGACAGACCAACTGAGAGCAAGCCATGCAATGTATTGCTCTTCTAAATACTATACTCTTTGAAAAGAAAGTGACTATTTCCAGACCACTGGAATTGGTCAAATATTAGCCATTTTCTTATTTCCATGGAAGATCATTAATAGCAAGATCACATGTATGAGCACCCCCCTCACCATCCAAACTGCCACAGTCCAAGCCACTTGCTGTCTGAGCTAAAGGAACCCAAGAGATTCAGACACACTTTCAGACAAATTTTCAGATAAATACCTGGCTATCCAAACCGTAGCCACCTGTTACCCAACAGTCAGGAACCAAAGACATTCAGAGTGGAGACTACTTGCCATTATTATTTTTTTAAGCTATAAAATACACTCAGTTTTAAACACATACTTAGAGGCAGCACATTAAGGACAGCACTAGAAAAAGTCTGCCTTGAGGGGTGGAGTCAAAAAAGACTCCAACTTGAGCAAAGAAACCATCTTTGAGATAAAGAATTCTTTTGGTAAGAGCCCAGCAGCAAGGTTCCAATGAAGGAGGTATTCTTGCCTCAGGCCACACAGGCTCAAGAACTGTCATGGGAAATGAACAGGACAGAAAACTGAGGGGCTGACTCTCATAGGCAGTTAATGAGTTCAATTAGTTGTGGATAACTATTACTAATGTACCTCTAATAAAGTTTCCTTTGCCTTCTATCAGTTGGTTTACATACTAAATCCTACCATTCGTATGTGTCAGGCTGTACCATTCTAAAATCTGTGGTATAAATCAGCTATTGTTACGCTTTGCAAATTATTTCAGGATGATTCAATTTGGTGAAATCTCCTGGGTTGGAACGTGTCCAGAGTAGTCTGAAAATCTATGAGAAAGGTGTAATAATGAGCCATCTGGCTATGTACTTTGTCTCAAGAGAAGCTCGTCCTAAAGTTTTTAGAAAGAGAATGCTGCCCACTGCTTTTGCACCAAAGGAACAGCATGAGGACTGCAGCAAAGATAGCAAATCAAACATCCTACTATCAAACAGACAAAGGAGAAGCTGGGTGGTGTATCTAGCTCAGGCCCTTTCTGATTATTTTGATACTGGGCAAAGGCCTGTCTTCTGATTCACCACATCTCATTCCTACTAACTGAAAAGGAGATGGATAAGTGAGTGAGACAAAAAAAAAAGTGGGTTGTTTTTTTTTTTCCACCCAGAATAAGGATATATGTGATTAAACAGCAGGGTACAATGAAGATGTGTTTCCATCTGTCTTATGTGATACTAAAAATAAATCTATGAGCTGAGCCTCTGCTCCAACCCCCTGTTCCAAAAAGATGTCAAATGTCAGAAGTACCACCAAAAAAGAATGTTCTAATAGCAACAAACATAGAGTGTCAAGGTGCTGGACCATGACAACAAAAGATATCTGTTATGAAGGATTCTATACTTGAAGGGATTATCAGTGAATATAGAGAATAAGATTAGGAGAGAATGAGCAATTTTAGTACAAAAGCAATTTTTTTTCCTTATCAAAAGGATCATTTTAACATCAAAACTAAAACTTGGAGAGGTTTAGATCATCTCTGCAGAAATGCTTTCCTATGTGTTGCCGCATTACAGGGAGAAAAAAGAAACATAATTGTGGTCTCAGAAATAAAATTCTGCTCCAGGCCTGGCTGTATTGTCCATGGGGTTCTATAGAAGTGATGTTTAAGGCCTCTGAGACACATAAAGGCTATATAAACAGAGAAGACTGAAAATCAATTTGTTGATTACAGGATTTCAAAAAATTTCTCAAAATAAATAAAAATGTGTTTAAACATGTATAAAAGGAAACATATCAATGTCAATTGTTAAATTACTTTGTACATTGACAACAATTCATAGAGTGCAATGTCTCACTTAGCAATAATGAATGATAGCTGCTGAGAGAAAAATTTCAAAACAAAATTATAACAGTAATTTTTTAGATGTTGACAGCAAAAATATATTTACGACATCATATGGGTGCATTTTTATAATATTTTATATGATGCAGCATCCATGGGGTCTATGAAGGCCTAGAAGGCCTTACTTAAAAGCGTATTTATACATGGTGAATTAAACACAATCATATGGGAATCCCTTTTTTTTTTCCAACCGAACAACTGATGCTTTTGTTTTTAATGGCAATACCGAAGAAAGAGAAAGAACTCAACCAATAACCTTTAAGTGCTCATTAGACACTTTAGGACCCTGCATCCGCTGGTCACATAAACAGTTGAGTCATATTGTTCTTTGGCAAAGCCACAGGAGCAGATGGTGACCGAGCAAGATTGAGGCTATCCCTTCTCCTGAGGCACCTCTGAGAGCAGGGGAGACTCTCATTCATGTGAAATGCTTAAAATGGACCCTCATCTGAAGACAAGAGCCTGGACTACTTGTCCAATATCCACTCTTAATCAATGACTCCAGAGAACAGTATAGGTTTCATGGGGATGGAGCATGTAACTTAAAAATAATAAGGCAAACCTTTCGCAAGCTGAGATGGGACATGAAGAAGGGTGCGTGTATCAAGGGGAGACATGGGTCGGGGAGATGGGGCTGCATGTGGACTGCCCTTGTGAAATCTAAACCAGAAACAACAGAGGCAAAACACTTATTCCCTGTAGGTGACAGTGGCCTTGGAAACAAAATATTTGACTGTGTTGAAGACGAGATTTCATGTGTATCTGCACAGAGCCTCTTGTTTCAAAGGTATATTCACAGACACGATGGCCCGGGGCATTCCCGAAAGGCAGGGAGTGCTGGTGGGGAAGCTGAGCCTCAGGAAAGCTCCGAGACGCGTCCCAGGTCACCCCGCCAGGAGGCAGAAGAACTTGAACTCAAATTCCTTACCACTTTCCATGTCTCTCTTATGCCAGATTGTAAGAGAGCGAAGCAGAAACTGAGGAGAGAAGGGGGCAGAGCTGTACACTCTCTAAGTGGTAATCTGGGACCTCATATATAAAATGACTCATATAAAAAGGGGAAAGAACACACATCAGTGTAGAGTAGGGAAAACCAATTGGAGGAGTTCTTACATGCAGGGATTTCAGAGTCCAGTGGGCTGATGAGATATAAAGAGACATCCTGGCCCATCGTTTGCCAAATAAAACCATGACCAGATGACTGGAATGCATCACAGAGTAAGAACATGATGGAGTGTTGAAAAAAAATTAAAATACAATCTCATACAGTATTCATGTAGAGAGAGCATTCTGTCACTGCTACGTGTTCATGAAAATTTAAAAAAATATGGGGAGGGGGCACACGCAATTACTACCAGACCCAATCACATGCCATTTGAAGGAAAAGGAATCTGCCCCATTCGAAGCAAAAGGTATTATAAGAAAAGGAATCTCCATCTTGCAAAAAGTGGTAATGAGAAAAATAAGATCTGCAAGTTTTGCTGATGTTTAACAGAATATCATACTGATGTTTTTACAGAAACAAATCTGACTTCCATCTTAATCCAGAAATGGCCAAGAATTTGCAAAGGGTGAAAATGCCCCCACCCCTCCTTTTAACAGAGACAGGAATGCTTCTCTCTGACTGAAATCTGAAAATCCCAGTCAATGTGACAGTTAGGACAGATAGAATACTCTGTCAACAAAGAGAGGGAAGAGCTCGACAAGATTTGCAAATGACAGAGTATTTTCATTCCTTCTTATTACATCCAACAAATTAATGAGAAAGCTAATGTGAAATGCAATGATGACTTATGTTTTACAAAATGAAGCAACAAAATCACCGAGGGTGAGGCACTGTAACATTACACCAGCTAATGAAAAACTGTCCATTTGAAAAAAGGAAGAGAAATAAGGGGATGAAAAAGTAACCAAAGAGGGACAAACCATCCTGGGGAGGAGGTAGAGAGCTGAGTTAGAAGACAAATACGGCACAGGTCACAGAGGCTGCTGGGGGAGGAGATGGCTGGGGGGTGTCTCAAGGGCACAGGGGGCAAAAAAGGTCTGAACCCTGCATCACAGAAGCCCGTGGCATGGGCACAGCTGCCCAATCCTCCCTGGCAAGGATAATTTCCATTTTATACCCTGGTAGAGGATGCATTTGAAAAAGAAAGGGTACCTTTTATTCTAACTCCTAAAGAGCGTTTGACTCAGGTTCTTTTTCTTGGCTGATAATTAAGATACGGCTGGGCTCGAAATTCTGTCTGTATCTAAAGTTTTGAAATGTATTTTGCCGTCTAGCTACTTTCAGCTCCATCTACCTCACTACTATAGGAAAAGAAACCTTTAAATAGTGCTCGAGAAGTGCATACATTGCTATGAGAAGCATTAAAATGTCAAGAAGAGAAGGACCCTCACACCCAGTTTTGTTCCCATTTTGAGAAGTGGGTGTTAAGAAAATGATGAATCAAAGCAGACAATTATTTGTTCTTATTTGTATACGAGTCACTCCGATCCCAAATTTAGCACCGTCACTCATTCTGTGATCTAAATGTTTCATCTCTCTTCTAAAATATGAACACCCACTCTAAGACTGGGGAACTGCTTCACAAATAGGTTGGTTAGTTGGAAGCCGGATTACGTTAACCACGCCCAGGAGGATAGGACTGAATATGCATCCCAAAAGAATGTTCCCACATATGTCTAGAACTGCATGAAGCCCAAAGAAGAGCACCAGCTGCGAGGAAGCCAGGGACCTTGGAAGATGTCACCCACCGGAGGTGGCCCAGCTTTATGATGGCCAGGGAACCTCACATCGGGAGTGCTTGCTGACACGGCTGGGTTGTTTGCACGCCCAGCTGCTGTGTTTCTTTCACTGCTAAAAGCTTGGCCAGGAAGCACAGGGGAATTAGAAGGTCTAGAAAACCACCTCGCTGACATCTGCAAAGATTGGCCCCCAGGAATGCCATGGCTTCTGAGAGCTCGGGAACCGTGAACGAGTTCTGAACAGAGAGGATAGGCCAGGAAACTCAGAGAGGAGGACAAAGAGTAACTAGGTAACAGCGGAGTCAAAGTGATTAAGTTCACATCAGAATGTGCTGGGTAGAGGTGGAAGGAAGGACGTGGGGAGTGCTCCAGGCTTTTCCCCCTTTTCTGGTACATTTGTGCATGAGGGAGCTGCACAGGGGAAAGAAGGAATTCTGGGATGCTCTGCAAAGAATCACGGTCTTCTCCAATGAGCTCTGTAGGTGTCCCTCTCCTAAACTCATGCTCGGGGCTGGGAACATGGAGGGCCATGTAGTCATGCATCAAGAAAAGGTCATTTAGCGATGCAGCACTTCTTAGAGGCGTTGAGGTACTTGGAAGGATGCATACATTCATGCCCCTCCTGCCCCCAGGTCCACAGGAGTCTCTAAGGCCCGCCTTACTTGCAGTGATGGACAACTTGGGGCTTGTCACTTTGAAGATGTTGGGAGAGGACACACAAATGACCTTAGATCCTAACTTTTGAGTTGGACTACATCCTTGGGAGCGAGATCGCCTTGGGGATCTCACTGTGGTCCTTGAGGCTTCCCGAGCCTTCAGTTGTTCTTCAAGACCAACTTTAATAGGACAAGCGGGTCCACCTTTCTTCCATGAGTGATGCTCCAGCAGAAGTCTTGATCTGGAATCATTAATTTCTGCAGGTGCTCCTGGCATTAGCTTAGCAGAGCCTAGTTTTTCAGCCTTCTGAACACCTGCCACGATCAGGAGCTGTGAGTGTGGCTTAGCTGAGGGTTTCAACTTGGCAGAGCTAGAAAATGGTTTAGCAGTGGAGGAAGGTGGCACGTCTCTGCCAGCCAGGACGCATGTCAGCTGCTGTCTAACAGCAGAGTGATTCTGCTTAGTTGGAAGAACAGGTGGGTTATTAAAGGGTCGGTGCTGGACCTGGGAGTAGGATCACAGAACTGAGTTATTGATCTAAGAGAAAGAGGCGGCTGTTACAGACATAGGTAAATACAAGTCATCTTTATAGACTCTAAAGGAAAGTGATCAAAAACATTCTTTACGTGAAATCAAACAATTTTATCTACAGATTCAGTTTTTTAAGTTTTAAGAGAAAAAAAGTTTGATTTTTGTAAAAACAGCACATGATCATTAGAAAAGATTTAAACAATATATAAGAATACAAAAAAAAGTTTAAAGAAAATACACCGCAGTTTCTACTGCCCTTAAGCAATCATCATTAACATTAGGGCAACATCATTTCAAGCATTTTCTATACATACATAAAAGAGAATAAAAAATATAAAAAGACAGAAACATTTTTGTAAAAATAGGACCTTATGTAAGAAATCTAGTTCTGGTAAGACTGTAGTCTAGATAACTTGAAATGAGCTCTAGCTATAAATACCTGAAGATAGAAGAACAAAATACAAAATAACACCAACATCCTCTTAAATGAGTAGCTCTGCTCACAAGAAAATAAAGGAAATCCCTGGGTGCCGCAAACAATGACAGAACAGAAAACCAGGCTGCTACGCACATGAGCTGACACAGTGACTCTTGGGAGGATGGTTAATCTTGGCTGATCTTGTTTCCTTGCTTTGCCTGTTTGGTTATCACCTTTTTTTCCTACCATCCAAATAGTTTTTAATTAGACTTTTAAAACAGCTCACCACAAAGCCCAGTTCTTGAAAAGCCGTCCTCACTCTAGTAGTTGAATTGCAAAAGAACTACAAATGACCTCTGATCCCAGAAGTGGTCACCACAACCACAGGTCTGGGACCAACCGTGTGTCCATGTGTACCATGACAACAGGGTGTCAGTGACAGTGCTAATGATCACTTTCAGGGTCCAGGTACAGACAGGAAAGGATTCAACCTAAAATTCCCTGAGTCTTTATTAAATCACATTCTTTCAGGGGAAAGTCACTAAAAATCCTCATGCCACAAACCCACTCGGACACCTAAGGGAAAAATGATTTTTCTACTTCCTGCTATTACTTACAAAAATCCCCTATATCCATGAAGATAAAAAAAAAATCCCTGAAAAACAAAAATCACTAATGGATTAAGATGCGTTGTCAATTCTCTATGCAAATAACAATTATGGCTCTTCCAAAAGCAAAGCATGCACTTCTTATGATGAATTATTTTCCAACTGTGTAGCACTAGTTGAATTCTCTGCTTCTCTTGGGTGAACTCACCAGAGTAACCAGCCTGGCCAACAGGACATGGTTACACTCGTTAGTGCACTTACCTCCTTGGCCCATGCTGGTTTCTCGCTAGGACTCATCCCTTCTTTGTAATGGTACAGTGGCTTCTTCTCCACAGGCCTCTGCTCCTGTCGTTGATGCTGGAGAGACACCAAGTAGTCTCTCTCTTGCTTTAGCTGTCTCTGTAGTCTTTCTGCTTGTCTCTGTTCTTCCAATTGTTTGCGCTTATATTCCTATCCGGACCAGAAAAGAGAAGCAAAGAAAAGGCCAAATCACCATATGGAAACCACTGGCCAGCACTGGAGAAGCATGCAATTCAGCCGAAAGAGATGATAACAAGAAAAGCCAACAGAACCACAGAAGGATGTCAGGGCGTGCCACAGGGCTGGGGCTTAGCGTTTCCCGAAAACACTACTGCTTTAATGGCAATCCCTATAGAACACCACCCCTTGCAAGGTGACTTGTCCCTGACTGGGGACCAAGGAAGTAGCAAAAATGAGGACATCCGGATGGTCAGCGCATAACCCCTGTAAGGAGCCATCCACTTCCCAGTTTGGTAATTAAACCACTCAGACATGTCCACTTAAGTACAAAACTAAATAAGTAGCTACAGATATTGCTCAAATCATCTTTTGTTTCACAAAACTTGGACCAACAAAGGCCATTAGCAAGCGTATGCACAGGCTAAAAAATATCACAGAAGTTCAGTTAAAAAAAATGTATCAAAACAGCTCATTTGGAGAGCAGGGCGATAATAATAAAAAAGTACTTCAATAAGAAGCCGTGTGAGCAAGCAGGGAACACAAAATGTTCCCATCGTAAGGGTAAAGCTAATAGTCTACGAATGAAATATGACTGCAGAGCTGAGTGGGTTCTTACAGAAGAGGTGCATTTTGCTGTGATTGTATTCCAGCATGTTGCAAATGACCTTAAAAATTACTCTGCAATAAACACAGTGGGTCTCGAAAACAGCCTGAACTTGTAACAAGCCTGGATTCAGGCTAAAGTTTCACAAAGAGACGGAGTTACTAAAGAATGCATGATAAGGGTCTCCAATGTATTAAGATGGCCAACTAGGCCAGGAAGTGTATTGGGTTTCCAGAGACTTTTGAGGTCCACGAGGTTTGGAGGGCACCCCCTTGTGGACTGGCATGTTAGGCGGACACACACTGTGACGCACGCGTGCGCGCGCGCACACACACACACACACACACACGCACGCACACGCACGGACACGCGCGCGCGCGCGTGATGGACACAGAGCAGGTGGCTGGCCCTCGGCTTTCCCATTACCAGAAGTAGAGCTTGTTCATGCAGTAGCTGCTGCTGCAAGATCTCTAACTGTCTCTGCTCCTCCTCTAACTGTCGCCTGATGTACTCCTGGAGAGGTAAGCAGCAGAGCATTCAGAGGAACACAAAGAGAGAAAGAGAGAGAAAAAGAACCGGTAATTTCTTTTAGGTGACAAGAGCTGCCAAGTAAAGTGTGGAAGGAAGGAGGGGAAAAAAAAAAAAAAAACCCCACACACCTCCTCACCAAACAGGAAAAGAACCGAAGCAAAAGCATTTCAATGCAGTCAAAAGCACAAGTCCTGAGCCTGCAACAGCCGACTGAGGGGGCTCAGTGCTTTGCTGTGACTGTTCAGTTTTAATAAACCCAGCTACATTTTCAAGCTTTTCATTGCAGGTTCCCTCTTTATGGGCGCCACCTCCCCCCCCCCCCCGGAATTAACAATGCTATCAAGTTCCGAGGCTCCTGTGCAGGCGGCAGGAATAAAATAATTGTGGAATGCCCGCAGTCGCGGTCTTTGTAAGGGACCCACCCTGCAGAGCGCCACTGTGCTGTCAGATGGTGGTTCTAACAAAGACAGAGGACCCTGCATCTGTGGCTCAGGCATGGAGACCAGAGATGGCATGAGCAGAAAAGCCCTTCTGAAGCGATGAAAGAGGACCATGTGGCTCATTTATCATGCTTTGGCACTACCTTCAAAGTAGATACCCAGGGTGGGGAGAACCCAAAGATCAAGGTTATGTCGGGGGACTTGGGCCCGGGTAGGAAGCGAGGCTCAACGTAATGAGGGGGCATTGCCAAGGCTGTGCATTTGACTTCTTGAATAGGTGAGAATAGCAGCTTGAGAAAGAGTAAAAACCTGCTTCAACTGAGCAGTCCTAAGAGAAGGTGACCCACACCCCAGGGACGGACGGACGGATGGACGGCTGGCGCTGGAGCTCCCACTGGGGCCATCTGTGGGCTCCGGGCCCTGCCGTACCTGCTCATGCTCCGCGCGCCGCCTCTCCTCCTCCCGGCGCATCTGCTCTTCATAGTGCCGGCGCTGCTCTCTCTCCTGCTGCTTCCGCAGCTCCTTCTCTCGCCTTTGTTGCTGTGGGGCCACAAGCAGACAACCATGAGGGACACGGGCCTGGGGCGGAGCTGTGGGGAAAGCAGCAGCGAGAGCTGCCGATTCGCAGACGTGTGCCCTTCTCCATAGCTGCCTACGTACCCAAAGGCTCTTCCTGTCCTGTGCTCTTGGGGGGACTTCCTGGTGAGGATGGGGGGACAGAGAGCAATTCACTGTCATGCAAATACCCTGTCATTTCCCATGCAAGTAGACTCCCCAGGTTTACTCCTCCCATTTCCTGTTAAGTGCATTCTCCCTATTGGCGGATGGTGGTACTAATGGCATATCATAAAACTGTTTATATGAGAGTCTATGGGTTTTAAAACATTTCCAATGCTCGTGTCATTCAGTCTTTTCGACACCACCTAGGGCAAACATTTCATAGAGAAGAGAAAGCAAAATCCATTGAAATGAAGTGACATATTTAAGGCCATACAGTAATTAGTGGCCGAGAGTACAACAGAATTCATTGACTCTGACGCTGTCCATTACCCTACCTGATACATCACGCCGCCTTTCTTTATTTTCTGGAGTAGTCACTTGTGAGTGTCAATTTCAACTTCTCATTCAAGTAAGACCCTTAAACTCATCATCCTTAGCTCATACAATCACCATGCCCCCAACAGTGGAGAGTGTGGTCAGCACCTTTCATACTTTATCTTATTTAATCTTCACAAAAATCTGCTGATGCAGTTATTCTCATTATCCCCATCTTATATGAGAAAACTAAAGCACAGGGAGATTAAGCAATTGTCAAAGGTCATCTTCATGTTCAAGGTCATGCCCCAGTAAGTGGTGGAACTCGATTTCAAAGCTAGGCAATGCAACTCCACAGTCTGAATTCAGTCATTACAGAAGATGAAGAAGCACCAGGAGTGATAGGAAGATCACAAATTAATCCAGCTCTTTATTATGCTCTCAGAAAAGGAGATCATCTTAGGAATAATGACAGGAGCCAATGTTTCTCAATGGGACAGTATCGTTCCCCAATCCCTGGAGCATTTGGAATGTGCAGGGGCATGGTGGAGTTTTTCTGGTGGTCTCTGAGACTAGAGGCCTTGACTGGCACTTAGTATGAGGAGCCAGGGATGCTGAACATTAGCATTATGCTCAGGACCGTCACACATCACAAAGTGTTTTCCTATACCACAGGCTGTTAGCGCTTCTTTCGAGAAGTGCCGCAGCCTTTGGTGTCGGCGCCCTGTGCTGGCATTAGGATTTCTTCTTCCTCAAATATGAGGTTTGGGGGAACCCATCGGGGGGGTCCATTCCCCTTTAACATTCTCAACAGCAGTTCACTGCCTGGCTGAGATACTATGAGTTATCCAAAACAGCATGGATTGTGACCAGATCACACTGAAAGAGCTTTCTAGGACAAAAGCTCTCTGTCACAGCCCCAGCTAAACCAAGCAGACATTCAAACCTCCAAAGAACCCACAAACAAGGAGGCCTTCCCAATGTGGCTCCCGCTTGCAATCCACTGGTCCTGCTGTCTTCCAATGACCACTGAGGCTTGGAGATAAGCTACAGTTTTTTGAGTCTCAATATCTATCCCTTCTAGATCAACAATTATTTGTCCTCCTTAGATTGCAGGCAACAGAAAGCCACTGGAGGACTTTCTGCAGTCAAGTGCCATGACCAGACTTGCATTTTCAAGGGGCCTCCTGACAGCCACGGGAGGGGGCAAGACTGGAAGCCGAAGTGCAGGGCTAGGCCATTCTAGGGGTGCAGGCAGAAAATGACAGGGCACCGATGAGTGAAGCAGAGGCAGTGGGAGAGTCCATGTTCATCACCGCTGCTGAGAATGGAGGCGCAGCCAAAAGGAAGACAGACTAAAAGCTATCCAGATTTCCAGCTCTTCTAATGGGACTGGAGTGGACGCCAACTTAGAAGTAGAAGTTAGAATTAAGCCAAAATCAAACAGGCAGGATTTGGGAACTATGGGGCTTGTGAGGGTGAGTGAAGTTCCTGGCCGAGGGGCAGAGCAGATGGTTTGCAACAGAGGAGGAAAAGCAGGTTTAGGGAAAGGAATGGGGGGTATATTGGAGGATAGGGATGGTCAAGCTCCAGATGTGTAATTATTTATTTTATAGAAAAATAGTACAGGAAGATGCGAGTAGAAAACATTTTCAGAGGAACTGACTGAATAATTTGGATTACAGACCCAAAACAGAGATCTTTCCAACACTCAACCCAAGTGAATCAATGCTAGCACAGAGGATAAAATAATTATGTTATAGATCTGGCTCCTGGCAGCAACTAGCCCTACTTTAACTAACATTTCAAGTTTTTTTACTCTCACCATTGGTCTCTTTCCTCACCAAAAAAATAATAAGAATAATAATCAAGGCTTTTGAAGTTTTAGCTGATTTTTATGTGAAGGATTTGTACATCTTCAACCCCTTTGCCGGGAATCAATACTGTTTTCTAATTACATGCCACTTAGGTCCTTGGGCAAGGTGTACACAGTATTGATTGCAACTCAGGAGGGTCTGTAGTTTCTGAGAAAGACACTCAGAAGTGACTAATAATTAATAATGATCTCACTCAGATCAGCTGCCGCTAACGCATGGAGGCATCTGCCAGGGCTTTGGCTCCTGTGGTGAGGTTGGAAAAATAAATCACTTCCCCAACATTCTGAGGGCACCTTGCCAATTTCCAGCTGCTGGGTTTCAATGTCAATGTCTTTCCTGGAAAAATCTTTGCTCTCTTTCCTCCTGGTCGTGGAACTGTTTGAGGGGACATACCAAAACCTGTCCGAGAAAGACCAAGTCCCCGACCTCAAGCAGACACCTCTACAAAGCTCTGACAACTCTTGCTAGAAGTAGCTCGTTGAGGTAAGGCCTGTGCTTGATTCCCACTGGACCCGCAGCCCCCCATGTGGGGCTGGGAACCTGGCAGGGACACAGAAGATTTTTTTTAACTGAACCAAGTAAGAAACTCGGGGCAAAAGAAGACAACACGATATCTTACATTTCTTTGGAAACATTTTCTGTCTTCTCAATCCTTAGAGTTTATATCACACTGTGCCTTAAATTATGGTTATCTGAGTATGTCTTCCCTACTCTACAATCTAGGTTGAAAGCTATTTGTGGGCAGGGTCTCTGTTCCACTCCACTTGTTCTCTCCCACTCAATCCCAGTAAATCCCTGATACCATTGATATTTGTTGCACTCAATACGGTCAACTGGGTAGCAAGAAAAGAGGAGAAAAGTTGGCAGGGCCTCAGACCACCCCTCCACCCTTCTATGACTTTTTCAGACAGCCCTTCTGGGCCTGAGTGTTCTTTTATGCTGAACATAGACAAGGCTTGAGAGTATTTTTCTAATCAGAGAGCCACCAATGACTGGCATTGGCATGGCACCTATTTGCCATCTTAAAGAAAGAGGGAAAATAAAATAAGGGAATAAGAATGTAAGCATTTCTAAATTTCATTTAAATTATGCATGCAGATGACAGTGGTCCTGTTGTCAAAAAGGAATGGCTTAAACCAACTATTTCTAAAACTTCTGGCCGATGCCCCACCTTTACCGAACTGCCTAGAAGTATGTTTTCATCTACATCTTCTTCACAAGTTGTATCACTTAAAATTAGATATTCAATGGGTTCTTATAAGTTTCTTAAATTTTTTTCCTGGTTGGGGGATGATAGGTAATACCCACTCTCAAAATTTTCCAGGCCTTGCTCTATTGAAGCAGGTCACTGGGATCTTCTTGCCCCTCTGTCTTCTGTGGATGTTCCCAAAGAATAATTTTGTTTAGGGCAGTTTTGGTTCTCCCCTTGGGTGTTCCCCTGAGGCTACCTCTAAGTGGAGGCCGTGTGGCTGTACTTCAAGTATGTGAATTGGTTAGTTTATCCAAATGAAAAAAACCCGTTCCCTTGCGCAGGGGACCCTCAAACGTTATATGTTTCTCCCAAATTGATGATGCAGAATTTTGGCTCTTCAAATTCTTGCAGAATATCACCTTAACTCTTAAGTATTCAATTCTTCTTAAAGTTGTACCAAATAATCCTCATGGCTGATTGTCACAAAAGCCATGGTGTTGCTCTTTCTTTCCATGTTCCTTTTAGATGAAGTTTAACCAGCAGAAAAGTGTTAGCTCCACTAGGGTGCTCTGGCTCTTGCAGAAGTGACTGATGAACTGTCAGGCCATACGTTGCCCTTTACAATGTTATCCGGACAGCTGAATAGAGCCAAGCACTGTGTTTGTGGGAGGAACATCACCGCACACATTATTCACCGCATTACTCAACCACTACTAGGCAAGTGCACAGGCTCCCAGTTATCTCAGAATGCTTGCCTGAGTAACAAAGTTACTTGTATCCAATGGACAACATGAATCTCAAACCATTCGAGTTTGCCTCTTTTCTAAGTTGCTGGGGCCCTCAGAGTCAGACTGGTGGCCCCGTTCAGGCACCCGCGCCAGGCACCGTGTTATGCAGGCATTCTGTGAACTGACCCTACCCTGGCTTTGTCTTGTTTTCCTCTTCTGCTTTATAGTCCCTTCTTCTTAATTTTCTCTCTTTTTCAATTTTTAGTTGCTATATTAATCTTTGTAAGCCACTTTATGTCCTCTTTTTGGAACAAAGTAAAATCACAAAGAAGTGTATACACAAACAAATGAACAAAGAAATCTTGGCTCTCCACAGATTTTGAAACCCCAAAACCACCCTTGGAAAGATCAAAATGAGATAAACAAGAAATTGTTGGCTTATAATTTGATTCTTTGTTTAAGAAGGTGGCACCTCTGTTGGTGTCACCTGAGCAAGTGGTTCAAGTTGTTTTTACAGCTGTGGGGGTCCATTTGCTCTGACCCCGCCATGCCCTCTCACTGAAGGGCTAAGTGAGCAATGATGACCCATGTAGAGCTGGCTGGGACCGAAAGGGAAACAACAGTCTCCTTTCTGATCTAAACGATCATACCATGCACCCGAGCCAATGTGGCTAAATGCAGCTTACCCATCATTCAAGGATATAGAAT